GACGAAAGGAATAAACCGTTTTGGTGACTTCTCAGCTCCCTATGAAGCACTAACACATGTTGCACTTGGTATGTTTCAGTGTACTATGGGAATTGCTTTGTTAAAGGCGCATTTCTATTAGTAACCTGTGATATTCACACAAGGGCGCATTGTTGTTATGTGTGGGTGGCTTTGGAAGCAATTCTGTCCATGAAGTACTCTTAGCATTAGTGATATGCTTGGTAAAGCTTCTTGGGTCAGACACGATTATACGTACTGTTGATAGATTACAAAGGTGTTAAATACTTTCTTTGGTCTGTACATGTTATTGTTGATTTCTATAAGAAGCTATCCTCATTCAAAAAATACGTTGTACTGGAAAGCCATCCTCTGGTGGAGCACAGCTGGCACACTACATATCATCACTAGTATGTAAACATCAGGTAAAATGTCCTATCAAGTAGTAAAACCTTCCAACTACAGTGTATTTTGGAGGTTGAAATTCTAAGATGGGACTCGTCATTACAAGGTATGTTCCTAAAAGCAGGCTTTTAGTGTAAGTACATACCGCTTTTTAAGGCATTTTGTACAAGCCCCTTGGGAATTCACAGATCTGTGGTGTTTCGAATTTTTGTACACTTCTATGATATAGGAGGAATATGTACACTAGCACACGAAATCAGTTTACTAGAACTTCTAAAGAATTTTCCATCAAAAATAGGTCACAGGACAGAAAAGTACATGCATGTTATTTGTTCTTTTTTAAGATGCATTGTTTATTCTTATTTAAACTTTTTTTGTGTGTTTGTCTAGATTTATCTGGACGGCCACAATTTAAGTTATGATTTACGCATACTACCCAGAGAGTTGAACTTATGATACACAGGTAGTCGTATTTCTTTTTTTTAACTCAGCATCTACAATTTGTTGCTCCATTTTTTCTGATTCCTTTAGAGTAAGTGAAACGTGTCTGCATGCTGAGTTCGTGATATATTGATTCTGATAATAATTAACTTCGGTGAATGTATCTGTTGTGTCCTAGACTAACCATTTTCATAGCCTGAAAAAAGAACGCCTACACTTGGGTTTTGAACCCTATGTATGAAAATGCATTGCTTCTAGAGTCTTTTCCTATTTTGATGTTTTTTTTTCTTAGATACAAATAATGAGCTGAACTTAAAGGTTTGAAAATGCTATTGAACAAGTTAGGAAAAACCAATAATAACTAAAACATAGGGGTAAATTTTCTATAGAACAAGTAGGAAAACAATATAAATATCTAGGTTATCACCTTCTGAGTGATTTTAATGTCTCTTCAGTATACCATATTGGGCTCATTCTATTACTGCATCAATGTATATTTAGGACATGTTAAATTGATCGAAATTCTCAGTAGGATTGGCCGACCAATTGCATCACGGTCTGTTAACTATGCAAACTCTGTGCTTCTGAAATGATGTCAGTAATAATATGCTTACTTAGGTTGACTAAAATAATATCAAATGGAATATCTACCATTTTCCTCCTTGTTGCTTGTTTTGCCCAGCATCATATTGGAAACTTCAGTGGCTGAAAATGAGTTTATCCGTGGAGACTATAGTGTGAATTAGGTTGCCAGGTATCCCTTGTCCTTGTGTACAGTTCCATTAGTTGTGCCCATGCCTGTAATTTTGAGTGAATAAGCTCCCCCCTTTTCCAAATGCTTTTTTATCTGTTATTTTATATAATTAAGGGTGAAATAGTAAGTTTCTGGATATGTATTCTGAAAACACACATTACCTTAAAACATTCTGTCTTATATTTTCATAATAGAGGTGTGTCTTGAAATCCTTATATAATAAACGAGAATGTGTCTATTGAAATCTATATTTTGAACGATTATGATCTATTGAAATCCTGTGATGATTTGTGTTTACATACATAAAGCACTGATGAAATATGGCAAATTTAGGATAATCTTAGCCGTATCATTTGAATTCTACTGCGTTGTTTGAGAGAATCTCACCAATGAATTCACTGATATATTTGTGGGACTTGTTGTACAGCTGGTGGGCACTTCTCCAGTCTTTGGTCAATACTTCTGGTATGACACTTCACATTCGCCAGGTAATAATACTCCAGAGTTTCTTGGCCTTCAGCCTTAATAAATTCTTTGTTTGTTGATGATTGATCAAAAAAAAAAAAAGAAGTTTCTTGTGCTTAAATAGTGAATGTTAAGTATTTGTTGCTGGGACAATGATCCAAATTTTTTCTCTTCTTTTAGGAAGAATCTTAACTTCATCTAAGAAACACATACAAATACATACAGTATCTTCTTTTAGTGCTCACAGAATAGACGCACTCCCCATTGCTTTCAATTCTGATTGTGGCTGAAAGTTAGTTTAATCATTCTACGTTTTATTTTACTTTCAGTTAATTATGGCATGAATAAATCTTCATTCTGTCAAAAACAGCTGCTGGAAAAATTCCTCACCATATAATTGAGGCATAAACCTTAAGGCTTTCAAGAGCACTTCGACAAGCAACAGAATATGACCTACGGTCGTCATGCGGACTTGTGCCAAGGTTTGTGCATTATTTTTTAAGGTGACTGCATTGATTGGACACCTAAGGTCTCAAACAAACAATTAATCCCAATACAATTTCTATCTCTCAAAATAGCCAGTGTAGAAGTTTTGCAGTGTTTTTTTTTTTTTTTTTCTTGTCATTTCCCCTGATATGTTTTATTCCCCCCTATGGACTATAGTAGCCTTTGTTATGAACACGCTTTTTGTCTTTCTTTTTTAATCTTAATTAATTTTTTCGCAAGCTATTGCCTACCCAGTTTTCACACTTTATTTTTCTTCTATTATTAGATAATCGCTTATATCTGACCTGCGGAGGATCGCCTTATTGGCCATTTGTGTTCCATGTTGCATTGTTGAAATTGAATTGCTCTACATGCTGCACCTATTCCAAGTTTTAAGTCATTGTTGACACCAACCCTTTGTTACAGGGTGTTTGCAAAGCGCTATTTTCGGTGTCCTACCAATTTAGAAATAAAAATAAATAGGCTAAATAGCCAATAAAACAAAAATGTACACCGTCACAACTTCATTAAATCATTTCACATTCTCCTTCTTTTTCTCACAAACATCCACATCTAAACTATCCACCAAAAAAATCCAACACCTATTCCGTTCCAAAACACAAAATTTTAGCTACTAAAATAGTCAAAAACCTTATAAAGTAGTCTACTAAAAAAATAGTGTCATGACTTCCACAGATCATCCCGCACACGTAGTTCACTTTTGAGCATGTATGCACCAAAATGGTAGCTCTATAGGTACTATAACGGAATCAAAAAACATTATTTATAGAGTTATTGCCTTGAGTTCAGATAAGCAATCAGACGTTCAACTAATTATGTTCCGTCTGTCAATTTAACTCGGCATAATGCCAAAAGCCCATGACCACCCTCATAATCAAATACTATGAACGATAGTTATTTCTACAATGTTTCCCACTTTGTGAATGACAGCTCAAAAGGGTTTCTCGTCCGTGACTCTGATTACCTTAAGATCATCAGACAAAGGGTGGATCATCATAACCTAAAGGTACGCCCACAACATATGAAACCTCCCGCTTTTAATTATAAAACATACTACTTTGAAGATCTCATTTTTACTATTCAATTCCCACATTTTGCCAGCTAAAATTATCAATCAGAACAGTGCCATTCACGATACTGCAAAGAATGAATTAATGCTCATGCTCATATATAAGCTGCTTATGGTGATGGATGTTTCAACGGCGTTGAAACTTGGAGCGCAGTCAATGCTCGTTCACCAATTTATGCGACACTTGGACACAAGAAGTACGCGTGCTCATAACAGATTAAAACATTGTAAAATCTATGTTCAAATGTGGAAGCGCTCTTCAATTTCGCTAGTTTGTGTTGTTCAGAACCCCAATGACCACCTAATGTTGGGACTCTGTGTGTTGCAACATTTCTGAACACAGTGCATTTCTCGCAGATTTCCACCAAGTTGTGTTTCTCTTACGAACACCACTAGACAAATGAACCTAGGTGAAAAGCTCATTACATTTTGTTTGAATGCGTATACCTTATCAAAACCCTGCAGTTCGAACCAATGCGAAGCTTAATTGTGTTGGTATGTATTTTTATTTTTTTTTCTTTTCGTGTCTAACATTTCACATCTTTCCAAACCACTTCGCAACTTTGTTCATGATGTAGCACGCAGGCATCGACGTAGAAGTATCTAACCCCATTATATCTAACAACCACCCACGCACTTTAACAAATCAGTCTATTTTGTTTAAAATCATTTACACGGTTAAAAAATCTATGGCCTGTACAAATCAATACAATCTGCTATTGAATCATCAACTGAATCATATATAACCTAAATAAGCATTATTTTATATAGTATTAGTTTAGGTTTGGTATGACTTGTATTATAGTTTGAAAGAGTAAATGTGTTCAAAAACAAATGTTATAAATAGTTTTTAGGATTTACTTAAAGCTTTTAATAGAAAGTTTATACCCAATAGTTTTGTGCAGGAATAATGATAATTTTTTATTAAATACTATAAAAATTCATAATTGTTAATTTCATCGATAATTTTGAAAAATTGTCACAAGAAAATATATTAATTATAATTATGACACGTTTAAAAAGATTATCATGAAAAAGTGCTAATCTTTAATTTTTAGTGATCAATTTTTAAAAATTTGTACAGTAAACGTCCACTAATTATATATCTTTACACAATAATTTATACAAGATTATAACTAAAAAAAACGTTAATTATTAATTTTTAACAATATATATAAAAAGATCCTCACAAAAAAGTTATTATTTATTTTTAATATAATTTAATAAAAATTAAATCTAATTATTAGAATCTATCATAGTTTTATTGAAATGAATCTTTTATGTTGCTTTAACACAACGGTTGAGAATAATTTGTAATTTTTTTTTTTAAATAAAATAATTGACTCCACTCTTTTTTTTCATGGCTCCTATATATTCTCTCCTCTTCTGAGGTCTCAGCTTTTTAGCATCTGATTCTCTCAAATCCGGTCATACTTACTCCTACATAAAACATATATATATATATATATATATATTGATTTACATTTACAAATCTACAAATTCTAAATATATATATATATATTGACACATCATATGCATTGAAAGTGCATCGCAGGTTCGATTTTTGGAACCCTAGCTCCCCCAAACCCACACACAGATCGAAAATGGCCGGTGGCAAAAATCCCAAGGGCTCATCCCACAAGCCCTCTTCTTCCTCCTCCCACCACCTCAAGTCCCGCTGGGAGTCCGGCAACAACCCTCCCTCCGACAAAAAACCCTCCTCCTCCGCCGCCGGAGACTCCAAGGCACCACCACCGCCACCCAAACCCTCCTCAAACCAGGCCACCCCAAAATCCGCTCCCACCCCCAGCCCTAGCCACTCAAAACCACCCACCGACCCGACCCATCAATCCGGCCCCGGCCCCACCCATCCCGGAGCTCCGCCGTCTTTCCCCGACGGTATCGGCCCTCCTCCGCCTCCTGCTTACGGGTTTCACATGCTGGAGCGGAGGTCGTTTGTTCTCGCCGATGGTAGTGTCAGATCGTACTTCGCTCTGCCGCCGGACTATCAGGATTTTACTCCACCGCCGCCTCGACCGGTGATGCCTCATGGCGGTCCGGAATTAGGGTTAGGGTTTGGTAAGCGGTTCCCTCCTCTGGGTCCCATGAGCCCTGAATTTCGGGACCGTGAAGATCTGTTCATGCGTGATCGGAACCGGGATTACTGGAATTCGCTAGGGCTTGATGGGCGTGGTGGTGGACCAATGCCGCATCCGGAGAATTCACTGAAGAGGAAGGGTGGGGATGAGGGAGAAAGGGGGTGGAAAGATGAGAGAGAAGGAAAAGATGGGAACGATGAATTTGCTAGACAAAGGCAGCAGCTTTTACAATATGGGAATGCGGGTTTGAATCCAAATGGATATCCGATTGGTTTTGGGGAGAGGGGTGAGTTTGTAGCGGGAACTAGCAATCCCTATCCTCGGGATGTGGCGGATGTAGGTAGAGGTGATGAATTGAGGGCGTTGAAGTATATGAGAGTTGGTGGGGGTTATGAGAATTTTCAGGGTAGGCAAGCTGGTATTGGGGGTGACAATGTGAGTCATAAGCATAATAATGTTGATCAAAGTGCCTTGAAAAAGGCATTTTTGCATTTTGTGAAGTTGATTAATGAGAATGTGAGTCAGAAGAAGAATTATTTGGAAAATGGGAAGCAGGCGCCTCTTCAGTGCGTCGCCTGCGGCAGGTTTGATAAAAACTGTGCCAAACTCGCTTCTTTCTTTTGTTACGAAAAATATGTTGCTGTGGAGATGCTTACACTAATTTTGTGCTTAGAACCTTTATTAGATGGTCATACCCACTAAGGTATGCATTATCAGATGTTATTTTGTGTGTAGGTCTTAGGCACCGGTCAAAGTTGTTGGAGTTACCCATTTTCTTTTCTTCGATTCGTTGAGTGCAAAGTCGAGTGCCGGTATGACCTGGCATGTCTCGACATTGGTGCTTGTACTCTTTTTTGTTGCAACCTCTAGTGAACTAGGGCTGGGCTATCTCTTTATTTGTTTGTTGGGCATTGCTGTTGAGTTGCATTTGATTGTACATTCATCTCCTGTTCCTATAACATAGAATTCTTGATGTGGTCATGTAACATAAAATAAAAAATCTAGGGAGTGGGGGAGTTTTTAGCTGTCTTTATAAGCTTGGCTTGTTCAGAAGCTTTTGAATGATATTCCTTGACACTCTTCAAGTCGGTTACTTTGTTTTTGATAAGTGAATAAGTTAAATTCAGGAAGGCACCAAGAGCGCACCACCAAGAAAAATCAAGTTGGTTAGATATTTAATCTTTCATGAAGTTAATTGATCCTTGTAATTGGAAAGTAATAAGGGTGCCTCATTTAATTTTTCTAGTGAACATTGCCTTACCCTGTAAGATAATATGATTAGAAAATGAGCTTTTCTTTTTCTTTTTTCTTTCTTTTGGTTACGCACCATCATCGTAACTCTACAACTTTATGAAATTGTTCTACATGTTAGGGGCAAAAGAGTTAATTGGAACTAGCATTGCCTTTAGCTGTGTAATTTTGTTAACCGGTGGTCCAGGTTAACTACTACTATGTATTTTCAGTTATATTGTTATCGCGTAGTTCATCTCGTAATACCTATTTTATCCAAATTTTCTATTTTCTCGATTGTTTCAAGTATAGTGATGATATTTTAATTTTATTAATATTGGACTTGGAAATGACAGAGGCTTTATTGTGCCTGCTTCAATGCTCTGATTTCATGTTGGGTAAATGAGTGGCTCTTCATCCATATTGGGAAATTTTTATGGTAAAGGCAAATCAATGGCTGGCCAATTTCAGTTCTTTGATGGAAGTGGGTTATTAAGCATATTTATATCCATATCTCAATTGTGAATCGTGGATTATGAAATATGTTAAAAAAACTAAATTAGTTGATTGTTCTCCGAATTGATTCGTTGTGTCATAATGTTTTTTGCGTTTGTATGTGATTGTCTTAGCTATGGTTAAAGGCTTTGACAATTTGTTGAGTTGATTCGACTGATGCATGGACTTCCTCTAGTTCATTGTTTGTAAGAAGTTATAAGTCCTTGTAGAGTTTCTTGTGTTTTCAGTGTGGCTTAATGATTTCAGATTTTTTATTTTGCGAGCAGAGTGTGCAGACTTTTTACTGAATTATATCAAGCCATAGGTAGTGATGTAGGATTTAGTCTGGTGTTGAACTATGTCATTCATCATGATGGATCTGGTACATAAGGTGTGGTGGTACCAGTAAGTTTGTCACTGATACTGGCTTATAATGTATTCAACCATGAAGCATGCTTGGAGCTAGTACCAATAATCATACTAATGCTGTTTTTGGAATATTTTGCCCAGAGCTTTCCCTGAGGTTTGATAAATTGATGATTGCCTGCAAAAGGCTAAAACATTATTTTTAAATGCTATGAATGTTAATGAGCTTACATATTTTGAGGTACTTTTCCTTTTTAAAAATTTTTTTTTTTATTCTTAAATTCTTCTCATTGCATTATGTATTATATTTGGAAATTTGCATAGTGGAACCATCTCTCTCCCTCCTGCTTCGATGAGTAATTTTCTTGATTTAGATTTTCTTAGCTTACTTTTGTTAATTTTATCCAGTTGTGATTCACTAGGGCGTATAATGTTTCTGTTTAGGCCCAGCCGCTCTGGTGTGGAGTAGTGTTGGCATTCCCTGGGTGATGATTTCCGGGGTGATGATTTCCTGGTTGATTTTTGCCAGTTCTGGATATATTTAGAATTTTTTGCACAGTTCTATTTTTAATCTTGCAGGCTATTGGAAAGGTACATATAGGATTTATTAGTTATAACTGTACCTTTTCTAACATTGCAGGCTATTGGAATGGGGGTTGTTCCTTTTTGTTTGCTAATCTATGATGCATATTGGTTTTGATTCTTGTTTGATCCTTATAGTTTCAAAAACCTGTGGATATGATATTTTGGATGAGTATGATAATGTTTTGTGTTCAGTGGTTAAAATCGGCGTATTATTCTTGGTGTCGTGGGTTTGAACTTGAGGGCGGTCACTTTGTGCAAATATTGCCAAGGTTAGGTTTGTACCCAATCTACCTCTCCCAAACCCAATCCAGTGGAACTAATGGGCTGTACTTTTGAGTATGATAACAGTTTTGTTTTGTTAAAGAAGAAATAGACCATTCGAAAAGGTTAAAGTTTGCCCCTTTTTTTCTTTTTTGGTGCATTTGATGGGAAAGAAATGAACTTTCTTCTAAAAATGTTGAGGAGTTGGTATGTGTATTGAAAAGTAATTTTTTCAGTCTCCAGCACCCAAGAATTTTTAAGAACTTCTATTATATTATTTGGATATAAATACATTGGGGCTTACATTTTCTTGTATGCACATGTGCTTGGGGTATACTCCCTTGGTGCAATATTTGGGCTTCTTTCTTATATTTTATTTATTTATTATTATTTTGAGAATTTGTGCTAGACTGAAAATAGCTTAAATAAGATAATAAAAAAAATGTTGTGGGAGGAATGATTTGAATGTCTGCTTTCTTTTTTATTATCAACTTTTAACTTGAAGAAAGCTGCACCAAACAAGGGCATTGCATATATTAAATATTTTATGGAGTAGCCAAAATCAAGTCTCTTTGTAGTTTTTGATCCCATTCTTATTGTTTTGATTAAATTCTTTAATGAAAAGAATGCCTTTGTGGACAGAAATGGCATGCACTGGTGGCAATGCCTGTGTTGTCTGAAATAAGTTTCAAGTTCAATCTTTTCTTTTCAAATGGCCTATTTTTCAGCCCTTGAAAAGCGAAAATGCAAATCCATCCAATGGTCTTGGTTCCTTTATCAGGGTTCTGTGAATATGTGGTGAATCTGCTCCAGGTTCATTGAATTGTGTATTAGAGTGCATTCTTCTGCCATCCTAGGGCTCCAGACTATAACTTTCACCTGTTTTTGTCAGTGTACAACAGGACTTCTTAGGTGGGATTTCTACATTTTCTCCCACTGCTTTGTTCACATACATTTTGGGCCCTTGTTATTCAAGTGTTCATTCCCCAAGTCTCTTTTCACTTGTGTTGTTGGCGATCCTTCTGAATATGTTTAAGTGATATGAGCAGCTTTGTTTCCTCTATCACTTGATGTACCAATCAATGCTCAAATTCCACCATTCTAGAAATTTTCACAATATTGTTCTTCTCTGAATGAATTTGGTTCTTCCTTACAAATTTTTTTTGGTTAATATTTGAGCTTTATTACTCTTTTTTTATTTATTTATTCAAATTACTATTTGGGTATAAGTAATGCAGGTACTTATTTTGGGTTGGGACTTGGGTTTGCATTTTTTGCGGGAATGATTTTGTAGTAAGCCAGCCAGATGATTAGTATAGGTGTTCTTATCAGGATATTTTGTTGCCAACTTGTCCTGAGATGTTGAAGCCCCTGGTAGTTATCTATGCTTGATGCTGGTTATTCATGCTATTGAGGTTTAATTTTAATGTTTAGTTTTAAGGTTGATAATATTCTAGTTTCTTTACGCAGAAGGTTGTGCAAGTACTCTGTTGTCTTTTAATTTTAGAGAAGACTAGCACTAGTATTTATTTATTTATTCTATGAAGTGGATAGCTTCTTTTAGCACTGCTACATCTTGTCCTTGCCAAACCTTGCTTTAGCCCTAGCCTTGTGCACTATGTCGTCCTTCTTTAAAATTGATAGCTTTAATTTGCGCTCAAAGATTTGTTTGGATGAAACAAATAGTTTTGGAAAATCATCCCTTGCTTGGAGAGAATGTGTCATTGGACACTGTCATATATGTTAATATGTTTGATTGTTATATTACTCTTCTAACTGTAAGTTTGAGAGTGTGTGCTTCAATCTTGTTTGATGAAACCATAGGCTTCTTGGTGGTGTAATATATGCATGCATGGATTTATTTGCTTGTTTTTCAGTTTTGGTGAAGTTTTAGCCTTTTAAGCCCCCTCCTCATCCTCCTCCTCCTCTCTCTCTCTCTCTCTCTCTCTGTTGCTGTAGTTTGTGGCGATATGTTAGACCAAGTTATACCCTGATATCATCTATAGTAATTGACCTTTTAAGGCATTTTGTGGTTTGAGTCAATTTGCTGAGTTAAGCTCGTTCGGTTATCATGAATTGCCATAATGTTTGTGTCCAGTAGCTTCGGGTTCTACTTATTGTGTACTCTGCTGCTGATTTTGTTGTTTAATAGAAGGCTATTATTTTTCCCTTTGTGGATTTGTTTTTCTCTTCATTTTCTTGTCCCAGTACCAGTAGTAGTTTCATCAAAACTTTAGGTATATCAAAAAGCATGAAATGCTTTATAATAAATTGTTCAATTATTTATAGTTGTTTGAATGGCAGTAACGGTAGTTGTTTTCCTGATGAATTTGGAATAGTCCTTCTAGAGTTATATGGCAGTTTGTGGTTGCTTTGTTTTTGGCTGCTTTTACTATCAACCTCTTCTGTGGGAGGAGGCCAGAACGACTGTGTGGTTTTGTGATGAAATGGCTTGATAAGCTTGATTGTTTTTAGTGAGTTCGTATAAACCAAACCACACTAAGCCTCGTGTCCCAATCAAGTGAATTTGTAATTTTTTAATTGAATCGATTCATTTGAATTCTCAGCCATAAATCTGGAAGGCACATAATTTGTTCCAGTAGTCTGTAATTGTATTAGAATATGGGGACATCCCCTCATTAGATATTTAACAGACTAGATGTCATTTTTGAAAGTATACATTGTTTGTTATGTGCATTGTGCAATAAAGATAATTACATTGCAAAAAGGCATAAGGTGTTGTTTTAGATATTGTTTACAACTTCAAACATGCCTTTGCTGATGCTTGCTATGCAGTCAAGTATTGATTGTGCTGATAGACAATAATTTCTGTCCTATGTACAAATGCCTTACTTTTTCTTTGAACTGTTGAATGATTTTTTTTGTTGCATTGGTACTTTATTTTGTAAACTTGTAGTGGTCTCTGAGATATATATCTGAATTACACGACACCGTTTATATGTAAAATTACAGGTCTTCTAAAGAATTTCCAGATATGCATGGTCTTATCATGCACACATACAACTCAGATAGAGCCGACTTGCTTGTGGATCACTTGGGCTTACACAAAGCTTTGTGTGTTCTTATGGGATGGAACTATTCAAAACCTCCTGATAATTTGAAGGCATATCAGTCATTATCTGCAGATGAAGCAGCAGTGAACCAAGAGGATCTGATTATGTGGCCACCCGTGGTGATCATTCATAATACAAGTACAGGAAAAGGTAGAGAAGGGCGTGTGGAAGGTTTGGGAAACAAAGCAATGGATAGTAAACTTAGAGGTATTGTGTGCCCTTTTGTTCTGTATCATCTTTCATGCTATTTATTGATAAGATGTCCTTCTGGGATTTTTTCATTTGGCCATGGTAATCCCATGCATTGGTCCCATGTTAGTCATCATGCCCCACTCAATAGGTATTAGGGAGTTCTTTGATATTGCTATGGTGCAATACATTTTGTAGACTATTGTCAGTAACCCTGTGAATAATTCATACTCCGTGAAATTTGTTTTGATTTCAGATAATCTCATCGTAGGGTCTTTATTTGGCAAAGTAACTACAATATCCTTATTAGGCTGAAGTTCTCCCTCATTATATGGCTCTTTCTTATATTTCTTCTTTCTTTTTTTCATGCGTGTTGTTTTCCATTCTTCGTATGTTGTTTCACCACCAATAACCTAGTCTCTGCTTGTCATGGTAGTCTCGTCTATGTGGCATGCTTGCTACTACCTTTTGGCCCTTGTACTCTTTCTTGTTAGTTCACTGAATCTGTTTGTTCTTAGGCATATTTTCTGTCCACTTGTGTGTTCTTGTTGTACATTTTTTACAACCCAAGTTTATTGGGACTGGCGATTCCTGATGTTATGTAAGACTTTCTTAGTGATGGTACTTGTCCAAAAAATAAATTGAAGAATTCTCTTAGTGATGCTACTTGTGGCATGCAGGTTTGTTTTCCATCCTTCCTCGCATGCCCCTTAATATATTTTGCGAACTTAGTTTAGATGTCCGAATTTCGCTTGAAATTACTCCTAATTCACTAGCGTGGTCCACGCAGTCCATTGTATTAATTATCAAGGGCCATTATTCATGGTTCACCAACAAAGGATTTATAAAAATTTATTTCTAGGCCTCTTGAACAGTTATGACATTCTATTCCTCTAAAAACACAGGTGCATCAGGTTCATTGGCATCCTTTCTATGGAGTGTGCAGTGTTCATGATAAGCCAAACATTTCCTTCCTTGAAATACTTAGTGAAATGAGTAGGTTTGGATGCCTTGGTTTTATTTGCTAGACTGTGATCTTGTTCGACATGGGAGATGGTTTCATCAATCACTGCCATTGGTGATGAATAAGAGTGTTTAGTGTTTGTGCCTTTTAACAGTGATTGAGGACTTTACTATAGCAAGTGACTGGGCCATTCAGCAATATAGTTTCATTATTATCTCTGTAACTGTTTCTGCTGTTTAGCTCTATGTTTGATAGAGTGATCTAATGCTTGCTTTGCGCCCTCTTTTTATCCTTTTTTAATTTGGTAAAGATTAATTGTTTACCCCAGAAAAATTGTGCCAAGCCAATCATCACAATGTTCACCCTATAGTATGGAGAAATTTCTAGTGATTTATTTGTTTTGTTTTTGTCTTAGTATTAATTTTTAGTATTTTAAATAATATTACTGTATATTTGTTTTTTCTTCTTCATCCTATTTTTTAAATATTAGCCATAGAATTCAAATGCTAAAACAATTAGTTAGTATTTATGATGTATCTATAAGTTTCAAGGTTTTGTAAGGCCTATGAAGAGGCCCATTGGTGATAAAAATGTAATGGCCTTTGGATAAGAGTGGAAAATGAAAAATATTTGGAAGTGCTCTCTCTCTCTCTCTCCCCTTGTGTGATTAGAAAAAATCAGAATGCTTTATCTGGCTGTAATGTGTTCAAAGCAGTTCTCACCAGAGCGAGGCTATGTTAATTTGAAGCAAAGTCTGTATTTCCCTCTCCATTATTCTACATCTACTTAGGACTGTTGCTTTGTTGTTGAAGCCTTAGAGGTCCATGTTATTCCTATCTATTGCTATGCTGATTATACAATGGATCTATAGGCTGTAGTAATTGTGAATTCTTTAATCCTTGGTTGCAACTTATTATTGCGCACTAAACCTTTGGGTTGGAAAAATTGACTTTATCAACCTTATTGGGTGTGTTTTCAGCTGACAAACCAACCTTATGGGTGAGAAAGTTGCCTGCAGTGCAGCATGTTTTCTAACTTGCAGTTTAGTTGATTTGACTGCTACCCGGTTTGATGTGATTAATTCAGAAATAGTTTAGATTAGGCTGGGTTTGTTGGGCTTTTCATGTTGGGGAATAATTATAGTTCTGCTAGTTGTCAACGTATTCTTTTTATTGTAGTTGTTGACAACATTGTTTTAGAATTGTTATTATGGTTGTAGTGCATATGTTATCTTTCAAACATATCTTGGATGGGTGGTGACTTATAAAGACTTCCAGTATTGTATGATCCAAGGGAAGTGATGTATTGAGAATGGCGACATTAATGTGAATTTTAGGTCTTTTATGTTTACAATAGTTGCTAAAGGCTAAGAATTTTTAATTTAAATTTTGGTGGTGGTGGTTGGTGGGCATTGCTAAAATGGATGTGTCCCTTTTCACAAAGCTCATGTTCAAACAGAAGATGCTACCTCTTGTTTTTGACCAATGACCATTTTTAAATAATCAACATGGTGGTGGTTGATGTATATTCTGATTGAGTTTGTCTTCAAATTCTCAATTCCATCATGAGATGGGTGGCATTTTCTAAAATTCGAAGGAGAAGCAAAGTTAATTGAATATTCCCACCTTGACTGTACAATTTTGCGGCAGAACAGATGTCTATTGGTATGGTATTTAGTTCCACCATCCTGTCTTCTTCTTCCCCCTAACCTCTCTTCAAGAAAGAGAACAGAAAATGTTTGATGGAAAAGGGTTATGAAGCCCCTATTTTACAATCATCTTTAATCTCCCTTCTAAGCAGAAGGTTAATCACCCAGTGGTCCATCTGTTACCATGTGCTTCCTAGCTAAGACGTTGGTTGCTTCATTACAGTCTTTGTTGCCTGGTTTATAAGTGACTTATACATGCTACTGTATGTATAGTTCATAATCATAGGTTGTGGACTTTGTGGCTTTGTGTAGGGTTTGCCACCTTGTTCTCTTGTTTATAACTTTTTTCTATCACATGGAAAAAAAAAATATAAAGCTTTGTACTCTTACACCTCTGGCTAGAGAGGGAATGTCATGAACGATAACTTGATTGTCGTTTCTTGTATTTGGCTGATGGATTTTTCTGATCTAGGTCTGATCATACCCCTCATCTTAAGGTTTCAGATCACATTTTAAGCCCAAAATAATCCTTTTGTCAATTGTAACTTCTTCCACTATCTTTGCTTTAGAAGTTATAGTATGGTTCCTAAGCATAGCTTCTGTCCCTCCACAATTGCTATTGAAAGTGATGTATTTGTTGAGTCTTGAGACTAATTTTGGATCACCTTTGAGAAGAACTTTTGTTGTTTAGATCTGTGGGAATGGAATTGCAGGAGCAAATAGCACAATTGTGTGTTGCTGAAATGTGTCAGTATGGCATTCCATCCTTTATTTAGTGCAGTCAATCAGGGCAACTCGTTTAGGTTATTCTATTTTCTTGAATTTTTACTAGTTATAGATATGGATATAGATATAGATTAAATGATTATTTCATCATTTTCTTTGGTTATTTTGTGTATTTTGAGTTATTTGTTTGTGTCTCTCAGTGGAGTTCTTGTTGTGATGCTTTGAATCACTGTAATGGAGTGCTTATCGGGAAAAAAAACATTACATCCAGTAACTATAATTTTAGGTGTGGTCAACAAATGTTTACATATTGCCAGCATGCTAGTATCTAAGAGGCAGCGTAATGTTTGAAATAATAATATCACTTACTGTAGGTTCTATGAAAGGAAACCATAGCATACCGGTTGATGGCTAATGAGCTGGTAGATGAATTTATTCGATTTCAAACTCAATAGGGTAGGTTTCTGTGCAAATTGAGTTTTGAGAACACTTAATGATTAAGTGATTGGTGTCTTTGATTGTGTGTGCTTGTGTAGAGTCCAAAAATGTCGGAGTATTCAGTGCTTGGAAGCAAAGTAGCCGGTTTGAGGCATGCAGATTTGTTATCTGCATTCTCATCTTCTATTAACATTTTTTTTTCCCCCTTTATTATTAGTGGAATTTATGTTTTCACCAGTTCTAAAAATAGCTGGATGTTCTCTCTGCTTGTTTGATGGATTTTATATGGTAGAAACAGTTCGTATGCTTTCCACTTGCCCATTAGAATGTGTAGACCTGCTAGAATATTGTTTTGGACCATCTCTTGTTTGTATAATGTGTTGGATTGGCCTGGGATTTCTTCTTGACAGGATCCAAAATTGTGGATTGGTGATTTTTGGAGCTACTTTGACCCTTGGGTACCCTTTATTAGAAAAGCAAGCTTGATGAGCTGATATAATTTTGTCCCTTATCATGATATGCCTTAATGGGCTTATTGTGCCTTACATGAAATCAAGTTCTTACACAACATTTTGTATCTCTTTTATAAATGTTATTTCAGATCTTGGATTCGGGGGTGGCAAGTCGAAGTCCTTATACGGAAGAGATGGTCATCTCGGCATTACTCTAGTTAAGTTTGCTGGTGACCAATCAGGCTTGAAGGAGGCTGTGAGGCTTGCAGAATTCTTTGGGAAAGAAAACCATGGGCGAAGGAATTGGAACCACGTACAGTCCTTGGCATCAGGCAAGGATGAGGAAAATAATCCAAACCTTGTGAAGGTGGACGAGAAGACGGGAGAGAAGAAGAGAATCTTTTACGGCTATCTTGGAACCGTTGTTGATTTGGACAAGATGGACTTTGAGACGAGGAAGAAGGCTGTGATTGAGAGCAGGAGGGAGTACAAGCCAACCAAGTAGAGCCTAGTAACAAGAGAACTAGGTATTGAATTGTATCTTAAATATACTTTTGGTTTAGTATATGCAACTTTGATGTCCATTTACATGGTGGATATGAATTTGATTGAGAATGAAAGGTGGCTTAGTGTAATTTGGGTTGCAGATAACTTTTGATGTTGAACAGGTAGACAGCTTGTGCAAATGCATGTTGTGTTGTTTTGTTTCTGAGGCCATGTCTGGAATTTTGAAATTTGTCTGGTTGGTGTTCATGAAGGTTGGTTTTGGTAGTTGGGTGTCTCTAATTTCCTCTTCTTTTTTTTTCTTCTTTTTTTTTTTTGGATTTTATAGTTTTTAGACATTGATCATCTTGAAAACTTTGGCCTCGATTGGGAAGTTGGCTATTTTAGTAGGTTATTTTAGTTTTTTGCTATTTTAGTAGGTTAAAATTTTTGTATTTGGGAAGATGGTTAATTTTTTTTTATAGTTAGATGTGATGTTTATGAGAGAAAAAGTAAAATTATTATGGGTTTGATATGACATTTTATCGTATTAATTATTTTAATTTATTTTATCTTTTTATAAATTTTAGTTTAAAAAATCAAAAAATCTCATGCCAAAAACAGGGCCATATGTGCAAAATATTGTTTTAAGAAAATGTTTTCGGCCAAAGCAAGAGAAGAGAAGCATTATTTGCATGAACAAGTCCTGTGACAATTTTATCACCTCTGTCACTTGGGTCTTAAGAATAAAAGTAACAAAAAAAGTCAAAGCTTTGGCACATTTTTTTGGCTTTTATGATGATTTTTAGCTTAAACATATTTGAAATTTTCGACTTTCTAATACAAAGTGATTAATTTGCTCTGATGCGTGATAATGTTAGGTAAATGCTAACGATGGATAAGGGCAAAATGAAAGCAATGCAACTTTAGATGGGCTCACTAGATTTGTAGGTGCCTTTCGGTGTTTGGTGTGTTTTTTTCAATTATATATGAAGTATGGTTGACTTTGTTGGCTTTATGAGATATATCAAAATGATAACGTCTGTTTTTTAACTCATAAATTAGGTCTGGTTTGGGATGTAATTTTTTAATTTAAAAGTTAAAAAGTCATTAAAAATATCAAAAATTAACAATCTATATCAATAAGTCGAAGGTTTTATTTTCTCGTTACTTTTTGTACATCTTTTCGTAAAAAATTAAAAAGTCATCTTAAACATACTAATTTTTTTATATCATATTTTAGTCAAAAAAATTAAAAAATTATTAAAAAAACATATTCTCAAACAAGACTTAAAAACTTAATAAACGGCTTATTAACTCATTTTCCTATCTCTCTCTTCTTCTCCAACTATTTCCTTTTCCACCCCAACTTGCACAACCCTCTCCTCCTCTACGCTACCTCATCGTTTTGTAAAGCATACCTTAATAATCTAACACAAAAAAAAAGGAACAAAGATGAAGATTCAATAAAGCTAACTACCATTGCCATCCACCACTTCTTTAACCTAATATGTTAATGCCAAAAAAGGAAATTAAGCCCTAAAATTATGACACAAGTAGTTACGTGATTCGGGCAAAAGTCAAGGAAAGTTAGTGTAATTTGTGTAAAAAACTATGTTTGTAAATCAATTTTCATAACATATACCTTTCTAGTACAAAAATCCAATTTTGTTTTTGAGAAATATTGCTAAATTGATTACATTTGTAGATCATATTTTATTTATCATTTTTTGTGTCATAGGAGAAGCTTAGTCAAGAGGTTTTTGTTCTTGTCTGTTATTCCCACAGACGGCGCCAATTGTACGGGGAGAAAATAATTCTCCTCGTATAATCCTGTTGACCAAGTCCTCGCTTCTCCGTACGACGTCGCTTTGTCACCTGAAAACACAAACGTGAGCTAGCCGGCGGGTGTGTGCCGGAAACCTCTCCGATGCCTAAGTCAGAAAACTTGACGAATAGGCAAAGCTCTAAGTTCTCAGAAAGATTGTGTTCAAATTACCCCCTCCAAGGTGATGCTTGTGAGCTTTTATAAGTTTCCCGTAGCACAATCCTAGTAGGACTTGTACTTCTTCATGCAGAGTCCTCCTAGGATTCATTCTCCTAAGGATAATGCTTATCCTTTCACACCCTCCCCTACTGCTTAAACCAAGTGGGATGGTTCTCTTTATGGCCGAACTTCTATTTGACCGAAGTAAAAATGGCTATGCCGAGCCACCAAGTAGGCCGTACTAACAGCTGTTCGGTTCTTCTTCATGCTATCATATCTCGGTTCTCTAATACCTGAACCGTGGTATGTTCGGACCGAACCACTGACTCGACCGGCATAACTCTCAAACCGGTATGCCTCTAAGGCCGGTCTAACTCCAAGTTGCTCCCCAAACCGAAGTACTTTACAATCCTCTAGCCGAAGTAACTCTATTACTTCGTAAGCCGAAGTAATTCCACCTCCTTTGGGCCGGAGTAACTCTGTCTCTCCTAGGCCGGAGTAATCATTACGGCCTTTTTTACTTAGTCCTTCGCTTTTCTGGGCCTTAAAGCCCAACTCGCAGTTCGGCCCAGTTTTTCCCAAAAATTGCCCTCTCAATAACTTATAAAATGGTAAACAAAACAAGGTATGTATTTTTGCAAGGGTAAATTACACTTTCATGTCTAAAGTATGAATCATCTCTTACTTTGATCTCGAAAACTAACTTTTTCAAAACCATCCCAACCCCTAAACTCACCCAATCTCAAAAACTAACTTTACATGAAATTGATGGAAAACAAAATTTTTATAGTGGATATGCCTAATTTAAGGAGCAAAGAGGCTGTGAATTGAAATATGAAAACTTGTTGAAGAGAGCAGATACTTGAATGGGAATATAATTGTGGGGGGAGAGAGGGAGAGTGGTCAATTGTAGTGGGATATGAAAGTGGACAGAGGAGAAGAGAGAAGGAAAAAGTGGAAAAATTGAGTGAGTGAAAATAATGTTGTGAGATAATATTTTAATAGATGAGTTAATCAGTTCTGATTAGGAGAATTTTGTATTTTTTAATTAGATTCTTTTGTTGGGATTGAGAATTAGGCCTAGTTTGGAAAGACTAAATAAGTGTATTTTTTGATTTTTTTTGTATTATGTGTAGAAAAAGTAGAGAGGAGATGTTGATTGATGTGACCAAAAAAGATAAAAAGATGAAATAAGTGCACTTTTTCCTTTGTAGCCAAACTTTGCCTTATTCTAAAGTATCGTTTTGAAATAAATTATTTTAATATTTTTTTTGATTTTTTAAAAAAAAATATACAGAAAAGTAAAGAGAATGATGTGACAACTTATAATGACTTTTTAATTTTTTTTTAATTAAAACATATAATTGCCAAACGAAACCTAAAGCAATAAAATGACTATATAAATATATATATATATATATATATATATTTTCGTCATAAAATTATAATCATAGTTAAAATTTGAACCAGAGTATAAAAGGACTTTGATAATTTAAACGTTAAAATGTGGGAATCTTTATCTAGATACTACAGTGAAAAAAAAAATCATATTTTAAAAAATAAAAGCATAATTTATCTAAATTATAGTAATTTAGCTCACTTTCTACTGACTAATTGGTCTGTTTAATTTATTAAATAATGTATAATTATAATATTAATAATAAATCTAAGTGATAAATTTATCCATTAGTGTAAGGAAAAATTATTTATAAGTCTTATTTAGAAGACTTATTTGGTGTGAAGTCCTGTGAATATTCTTTTAGGATTTGAAGTTCTATTTAAATATGAATGTGTTCTATAAGGTCTTATGAGTTGTAAATGAATGATATTAGTATGCTATTATACCCCTAATTTGTTTTCATATTGTATCTTATTTTCTTATTCATCACATCACGTTTGGGAAAGCTTTTAGGAAAGACAAGTCTACAGGCAACGACCACACAAGTTTTTTCGCCTTGATCACGGGATTCCAGTGCATTTTCAAAATGTTGCTTAAATAGATATGGATATGGTCGATGATATGATGAAATTCGAAGGTTGTGTGTTGATTCTTTCGATAGATTTTGACTCCAATCAGTTGAGGGGAAAATGTTTTTTTTTTTTTTTGAAGTGTGGATTGTTCATTTTTAATAGGGTATTGACAATCTGTTACATTCATTAATAGGCACACTTTGGCCAATATTCTGATTGAATGTGTATATTTAAGTTGTGATGATTGATGCGTTTTGATATGTTCTATGTGTGGGGTAGTGTGTATGGGTTCAAGGGTTGGGTTGGGGTATTTGATTTTGGTTGTTAATTGGATATCAAATGTGAACCACGTCGTATGATGACAATTGTACATTAGAACCTAAATGATCGTGTTACGATGCATGTTACATTTAGTGTGTAACGATAATTTACATACACCATGTAGCAGGTGACATTTGTGTGTTTGTTTGGTTGTATATGTGGTTGAATATGTATCGTGTCTTTGTTGTAATTAGTGTTTACATATATGTCACAGTACGTTGCGCAAAATATTAGGGATTTGTGTTTGTAATTGAATTTGGATTAAATCCCATCGCTCGATGTTGAAGTTATGCTAGGTTTGAGGTGATGATGGTTCAATACATAGGTTGGGTTGGAATGTTACATGTTACATTTAAGAGGTTACATTATTCATAATTTAACGGTGGAGTATTGTAATGTCACGTTGGGTTTAGGATGAGAAGCATATGAGAATGTCACGGTGAATTTGGGATGTTATATGTTACATTTACGTTGGGTTTGGGATGAGAAGCTTATAATAATGTCACGTTGGGTTTGAGAATGTCACATTGGCTCCGTTTGTTTTCAGAGATAAAATGGAGGGGATTAATAGCGAGGGGATTAAGTAAAATTGTGTTTGTTTTGATGATAGTTGTTAGTATAGGAATTGTTAAATTATTTTTATATAAAATAATAAAAAAATACAAAAAATTAAAATTAATGTTCAAAAAAAAAAATCCCAATATGTAAAAAATAAAAAAATTTCTAATCCTCTCACTATTTTTCTAATACCACCTCCACCTCTTCCATCTCAATCCCCCTTCCAACCTCCATCTTAATCCCCATTCTCCATCCTAATCCCTTCTCCAACTGTACAAACAAACACAACACTAAATAGCCTCACCTCTATCATAATCACATTCCATCATTTATACCCCAAAACAAACAGGGGCATTGGGTTTGGGATGTGTACATGTCACATTTATCTTTTGGGTTTTTGGTAATAAGTCCCTCAATTTCAAACTTTATTTCCAAAAGGACAAGATAAAAACATTTAATTCATTAAGGACAAAGTTTATAATATTTAAAAAATATGACAATAATACCCTCAACTTCTATCATTTTCTTAAATTAGCACAACCACCTTTGTCTGCCATCACCGACCACTATCGGCCATTGTTGATCACCCCGGCCGACGACAATTTTCCAGTGATCACTATCGGTTTGCGAAAATTTTTCGGCGAGATTCTCCAGTGACAGTCAAATTTTAATCTCTTAGACAATAAAATTTTACTCTGTTAATTTGGACAGTAAAATTTACTATTTACTTTAAACATATAAATAGTGAATTTTTGTCATTGTTATCACTAACCACCACACTTACTATAATTATTACCATTATTCATATAGCTATTAAATAAGAAATCAGTTAGAACATCTTTAATAAAGTTAACAATAAAATTTTATTCTTATACTCTATAAGAGTAAAATTTTACTATTTCACTATTGAATGTATTAAAATAACATTTTTGTTTGAGATCTCAAAATCAATATTCAAACTGATATTGACCAAAAAAAAAACACTAAAATAAAAATATATACATATATAGATAGAAAGAGAAAAAAAAAATAGAGAATTAGAGAGATAGAGAGAGCACATATATTGCCTTAGATTCGGTTCAAACCAGAGTAAAATTTTACTGTCTAAAAAACAGAACATGATGAAAAGACAAAGGGGAAAAAAAAGAGAGAATATAGATTTGAGATGATAGATCTCAAATATGAGTTCATCAATCTTAGATTTGAGGTCTTTGACGCTAAGGATAACGATGGTGGTTGCCCGTGGTATAGTGACACGAATGGTGTTGATGGTTGAGATGGTGGTAGTGAAAGGGTAGAGGCAGTGGTGGTGACGAACGATGCCGGTGGTTGAAACGGTGAAGGTAATGGAAACTATGGTAGTCGTGGTAGTGGAGATGGCGATGGTGGTGGTGGTGTAAACAGTAGTGGTAGTGGTAGTGGTTGTGGAGAGAGCTCTTAGAAAGAGATGAAGAAAGAAAGAACTAAGAAAGAGATGACAAACAGATGGAAAGAAAAATGAGAAAGATAGGGAGTGTGTGTGTGAAGGGGTAAATTTGTCACATATAATATAAATCTGAAAATTTGTATCCTTCTTACAAGATTTCTTTATTTTGGAAGAGTTTATGAGCCAAAAATTATAACTTGTCATTTTCTAAGAAAAATGTGCTCTAGAAAGGTCAAAAATTCCTTTATGTTTTGAATTTCAAATTTTCAACCATATAAATATGATCATAATCTGTGATAACATTTGATTTCTCATATATGGTATTGTCATTAATCAAGTTATTTTGAATTTCAAAAGTGTATGGAAATGCCACGTTGGGTTTGGAAATGCCACATTGAGTTGGGATTTGGGATGTTAATGTTACATTTACGTTTTGAATTTCAAATTTCTAAATTTTTCATACATAATATTATCATTTATTAAGTTATTAATTAATTAAAATTGAAGGTTGATATGTTTTAAAAAAAATCATAAAAGCTAAGATCATATCTCATTTAAGTCTTATTTATAAATAATTTATTCTTGATATAATTATAATAAATCAAATGAAAATGTGATGCAGTACACATATTACTCTAAATATTTTCTTATTTTATTTTTATTTAAAGTACACATGCGCATGTCTGGTGTCTGATCTATTGAGTCTAACCACCAGTATATATAGATGTACTGTGTGTGGATCTATCCCTATATCTATCTACCACTCCACCCAGGCCGGCAATCTCTTTACTTTATCTGACTACTGCCATGTGGTCTACACTTCATTTGGTCCCCACCACACTTTCCCCAGCTTTTCTGCTCTCTCTCTCTCTCTCTCTCTCTGCTTTCTCTTTTTTTTCCTCTTCTGATCCAACTTCGGTTTCCGGGAAAGTAACTACACCACCCCCCACCCCCCTCAACTATTCACATCACATTTTCTCATCATCCAAACACTCTCTTTACTACTCTCAAGTCTAATTACATCTTGTTATCTTAGAATCTTTATAGATTAACATTATTCGATTTTAAAATAAATTATGAATTGAATCGACTTTCATGGTTGAAAAAAATTGAAATAGTAATTAAATCGTTAAATTTGTAGAATCAGATCAAAATTAAACTATAGAAGTTGATTTAGATCGATTCGATTTTTAATTTTAAGATTTTTAAATAATAATAAATATGATACATATTTTATTTTATTAACAAATTAATAATAATTAATTTAATTAAATTGATTAGAATTTATCAAATTTACTATTAACACTATTATTCAAATAATTTTTATATTCTAATTTTTAGATGTAAAAATATAAAAAAAAATAATAAACAAATATGTTATTGCCTCCGTTAGGGAAGTGGGTTGGCTTTTTGGTTTTTTAATTTTTTTGGCTATTTTAGCCTGGGCTAAAAAGCTTGGTTTGGGAAGAGCTTTTTGACTTTTGATTTTTTTGACTTTTTTTGTGAGAGAAGAGTGTAATGATTATGGGTTGGATGTGATGTTTTGTTTTTTGTGGCTAAAATAGCCTATTTTGTCTTTTGTGACTAAAATAGCCAAAAAAACCCACTTTAGTTCTTCCCAAACGGACCCATTGTCTAATACGTTTCAACATCATAATCAAAACCTTGAAATTGAGAATCAGACAGAATTCAACGATTTCATTATTTTCTAAACTATAGCTAGAGTCAAAACTAATAAAATCAAATAAAATTGAGTGGTGTTTTAGAAAAATGATAAAAAATTATTTGAAAGGGAGATTTATAATCTGGCTTTGGACCGTGGTAGAAGCCGGACAGAAGATGGCCGAGCACGTTTGGGCCGAGCTAACTTGGGCCTATTTAGAGGTGGTTTTGCTCGGTCGAAGTTGAGGACCAAGTTGGGGCTGAGCTATTTGGGCTTGTTTGCGTCCAGAATCGGTCTTGCTCGGCCGAGGGTCAAGCCCCGTGTATGGGCCGAGCTTACTTGGCCGAGATGGTCACCTGCCAACCCATGGTTCGCATGTTTAGCTCGGCAGGAAAGCTTTCTGTTTGCCGGCTTGACCTGTCTGGAACTCGGCTCTACCGGAATGCTACTGAGCTCGGTTGTTATGTAGCTCGGCGATGGGACACTGGGACTCGCTATGCAGCTTGGTCGTGTGAAGCTGAGGTGATGCCTCAGGGCTGCCGAGTTCCTGGTAATGTTGTCTGGCGGTTTGGTTAGGTGGTATCCGTTGGATTTGTACTGACAGATGGGAAAGCAGCTCCACGTGTCAAGAGACTAATGGGAGCAGATTTGAGCGCAAAAAGTATATAAGCATGACTGCGCCTCCCATGCGGAGCATGAAACATAATTTGGTGAGATAAACCTATACACTCAAGTCTCTTCTCTCTCTCTCTCTCTCTATATATCTCTGAGTGTGCGCTAACTTGACCGTCGGAGGGGTTTTCCGGCCACACACCGTCGGGTAGCTCACCGTCGTTGTGTTCGCAGGTTGATCGGACAGACAAGGAGCTTAGTAGAAAGGAGTACGGGCTCTGCGGAATATTTGTTCCCTGTACATTATTTTTATAATTATTTTTGATTTTTTTTGTAAAAAAGTAAATAGGTAATGTGACTCAAAAAGTCAAAAAGTTAAAAAAAAAAAAACTAATCTTTCCAAATTGCCCATGGTTTAGATGAGATTGGATCGATTTATCGATCTCATTGATTTTTATAAGAGTTTGACTTTTCTTAAATTATCATTTGAATTTAAAAGAACATTCGTGTTGGGCTCATTCTGGAATCGATTTTACTAATTCGAATTGTTTATTTTTTAAAATTCATTAAGTAAAATAATTATGTAAAAAATAAAGATCATTGAATATTGGTAATTATATATTTAAATTATATTTGCTTTTAGAAAAAAAAAATATAATTTCAAAAATAGGTATTCTTTTTTATAATACAATTTTGATTTAAATATATATCCTTACCAATATCCGTTCATTTTGATTTTTTATAAAAATATTTTATTCAACGGATTTTAAAAAATAAACAAATCAGATCAATAAAATCGATCTCTAAATAGATTTACTAAACTTAAACACTTTATCAAGTTGAGATGATCAACATGACACAATCTCAGTTCTGTTTTAGCCTTCGTTTGAGATGTTAGTTAGTTATTTTAGCTTGGGGCTAAAAATACTCATTTGTAATTAGTTTTTTTTTTTACTTTTATAAGAGAAAAAATAAAATGATTTTAATTTAATTTATTTTATCTTTTTGTAATTAAAATAACCAAAAAAAATAATGCCAAACATAGCCTTAAACACTCCTAGTTATCCTACGCACCATCACACCCCGCGCACGTTAGTCCTCAACCTTACCACCTTTGTCAGTCGACATAACACGTGTCGCTCCTTGAGTCGCCCCACGTCATCACCTTCAGTCTACTTCATTCGTTTTCAGCCTTGCTTTGTCGCCACCAGCTACATCATTCACTCTCTCTCTCTCTTCTATTGTTAGGGTTTTTTTGGGTTCTTCTGTCCCACTGAGACAAAGGGAGTCTGGTACAATGGGTTCAATCGCCGATCCCGGCGGTGAGTTCGGCGAGTGGACTCAGCCTCCGCCGCCGAGCTTTGACGAGTTCCAGAGGCAAACCTCCCTCATGACGAGCTGTACTCTGCTATGGAAAGAGCTGTCCGATCACTTCTCGTCTCTCGAGCAAAACCTCCTGAAGCAGTCCGAGGCTCTGATGAACAAGATCAGAACTCTGGACTCTCAGACCAGGGACTCCCTTCAAGTCCTCGAGAACCGCGAGGTCACAATCGCCAATTCCGTCTCCGCCGCCCTCGACAAGGTCCAGCAGTGCAAGGCGGCCGCTCTCGACGCCGTCGGCGACGGCGGTGGAGAAGGCGAAGTTGATGACGGCGAGGGTTTGCTGTTGAAACTGAGGAATTTGTGTACGAAAATGGACGCTGAGGGTTTCTGGAGGTTCGTGACGGCTAGGAAGAAGGAATTGGACTCAATGAGGGCTCAAATGTCGGTTGCCCTAGCTGACTGTGTCGATCCGGCGAGGTTCGTTTTGGAGGCGATTTCGGAGGTGTTTCCAGTGGATAAGAGGTCGGAGAAGAGCGAGAGAGTGAATGATTTGGGATGGGCTTGTGTTCTGATACTGGAATCGTTGATTCCGGTCGTGATTGATCCAATTTTGGGGAATTCGAGGCTTATGGTGACGCCGCGCATGAAGCAACGAGCGAAGGAGATAGCTGATACGTGGAAGGCGAGCTTGGACCAGCGCGGTGGAATCGAGAATGTGAAGACTCCCGATGTGCACACGTTTTTGCAGCACCTAGTGACTTTTGGGATTGTGAGGAAGGAAGACATTGATTTGTATAGGAAGCTTGTCGTTGGGTCTGCTTGGCGGAAGCAAATGCCGAAGCTTGCTGTGTCTCTGGGTTTGGGTGACAAAATGCCTGGTATGTTTCACATTTTTCGCATTTCAATTTTCAATTTTCCGATCTAATTAGAAGCCATTTTCTTGTCTTGGTTAATATGTTGAAACTAAGCTTTCAGTTACCTTAGTTTTGTCAAGAATTAGTTTCTTAGCTGCAGGATCTAGCAAGAAAAATAACATTACAATGTTTTCAGTTTTTGTTTTGGTGATAATCATAGTAAAGAAAATGGTATACACTAATCATGCAACACGTGGCAAAATTTCAGATATTTTAATTTAGTGACTTGTCAGATGCTATGGCCTCAATTATGTTTTTTTGGAACAGTGATCTTATCATGGCCATTTACAACCCTGGATGATATGGAGTGGGGAGAATAGAATCCAGAGTTATTTTTTAGAATAAGGGTTATATGGCTATAGATGGGGGAACTATAAGAAAACTTCTTTTTTGTAAAGGTTGGAGAACTATAATATTAATCTGGGTAATTTTGATATAAATACATGCATCACCCTTATTTTTTATTAGCGCTCGTTCATGTAGGTTTAACAACTGGTCTTTCTGATTTTTCTGATTTGGAAGTTTGTAACATCATCAAGGACAACTAAATATTTGAGCGATTTGGATTATTATGCTTGTCTGCATGACAATGATGATTAACCGTCCATTGATACAAATTTCAATAAAAGAACTCAGTGATATTAACACAAGATTTTGTGCTTAATTGAGACAAAATTAAATGCCTTCTAGGAGAGAACTGGGTAGAAGATCCTATAGTATGTAATCGTTGATTAGCTGTATTCTACCATGATGAACGCCCGAGCATTGCATAGGCTGCTCAGTTTTCACTTCAATTTGAAAAGTTCTAAAACCTAAAGGCACTTATTGCATGATGTTTGTTTATGCGGAGAACTAGATCAAGAGGTTTTGGAGGGTTGCCCCTTCCTCATTTGTTGGAGTTGATGCATTGCACATGCTCTTTTGGTTTCATTTCTTTTGGTTTGAATTAATTTCTGTGTCTTTTAGCTGGTGTTCCCTTATATATTTGGCTTGGTGTGCCCTGAACTTGTTTTGAGTGGTGGGGTAAGACTGTAAGAGGAATCTCTTTGAACCAAAGCTTATTGTCATCCCTAATTTGTTGGCCTACAACCTTCTAGTTATGACGATTTACACGTGGTTATTAAAAACAAATGAAAATTGAATTAGGCTGCCATTGGTAAGTTTGCCACAAAAATTTTGTTCTTACTTCTTTAAGTTTGAGGAAGCCTTCTTTGTCTTCATCACTTGTTTTTCTTGGCATGGCTGTAGTCCATGAAGGGATGATTCACATGGTGTCCATTTACATACTATTTGTTAGAATAAACAAGGTCGTCGTCGATGACGGTGTGTGTGGTATTTGATCCCATTTTGTTTGATGTGGTTAGTGTGGTTGGAACGTAATAGACGCACATTTCAGGAGATTCTGCGTACAGTTAGTTGGCTTGAGAGTCGTTTACTTGTTTTGTATAGTTGGTTGGAATTGGAAATTGATCTTGATATGTTTGGTTTTTTAGAGTTCTTGGACGAGGTTATTGGTTAGAGCGTGATTCCCCTGGCGGGTTTTTGTATTCCTTGCATCATCTTAATGCTTTTTTAATAAAGGGCGTTTGCTTATTTATCAAAAAAAATATTACTCTTTCAACAAAATTAAGCTCAGATTGAGAAACAAGAACACTCCTGAAAAAGTGTTGTGTTCGTGTCTGACAGTCACTATTTTTACTCAGACCCGTACCAGTGTTGGACATGAACAAATTTTCTAATTTTATTTTAATTTTTAAAAAAAAATTAGAAATGGCCACGCTTTGAACACTTGGGGATACAAATATATTGCTTAAGACACATGAAACACACTGAAGAAGATAACTCTTGGGAGTTATTTATCAAAATCAAAATAATATGGATTTATACTTAATAATTTCTCAATTAGGCGATTCAATTTTAGGAACTCTGATGTCCGAAACTTCAATTTGTTTGTAAATATAGCATTTTAAAATGGAAAATGTTTGAGGGCCACAATTTTTGTGGCCACAATGGCTCAAAACTGCCAAAACGACGTCGTTTTGGGTGCAAAACATGCCAAAACGACGTCGTTTTGGCAGTTTTGAGCCATTGTGGTCCCAAATATTGTGGCCCTCTAGCATTGTTGTTTTAAAATGGATAGTAGGATTTTATATTCACACTTTTTTTTTCCAATATATAGAATTTGGAAAAGATCTCGTACTATTTTGACATATTAAAATATATTCTTGTATAAAAAACTAAAATATGAAGATTTTTGTGGTGTAAAGTTAAATTCTTGTTTTTGTTTTAATAGACTTGCCTTGATATAATTAAAGGTTAATTCTGATTCTGGGGGATTCATGATTGAGTTGGACTGGTTGTATACAGATATGATTGAAGAATTGATCAGCAGGGGTCAGCAGGTTGATGCAGTCCATTTTACTTTTGAAGTTGGCCTTGAGAACAAGTTTCCCCCCGTCCCACTGCTGAGGGCTTTCCTGAAGGATGCGAAAAAAGCTGCTACTGCTATTTTGGAGGATCATAACAATTCTAGCCGAGTGGTATTAATTTTTTTATTTTGTTCTTCATGACATATTTTGTTTTATTGGTTTATACACCTATGAACTATATGTTACAAAAGTGAATCCTTTTATTGTTCCCTGAGTTTTCTCAAGTAGTATACACTATTCTCTTTCTTTGTCCAAGTTCTATATCTGTGATGAATGGCACCGAATCTTGATCTACCACTGCCAGAAACATTTCCAAAATTAAATTTATTGTGCTATAAACTATTCTGGCAAATGGAGAAATATTTTTTTTGCTACACCCAGTTTAGCAGTGAAGAAAACTTGCTTCCGCTATTTGTGGATTCCTCACAAAAGTGGCATTTTGTTTTCCATTTGCATTAAATGTTATTTGGGGCTATAAAACTGTAAGTTCAGGAATAGGTTAATGTTAATTCTCATAAACGATATGATACAGGCTGTAAAACAGTGGCAATTCTTTGTATTTTGCAGTATCTTGCTGCACGCAAGGAGCAGTCAGCACTTCGGGCTGTCATCAAGTGCATTGAAGAGTACAAACTCGAGGCAGAATTCCCTTCAGAACATCTCAAGAAGCGCCTTGAACAACTAGAAAAAACCAAGAGTGAGAAGAGAAAGCCATCTACTGTTCCGGCTAACAAAAGAACCCGAGCGAACAATGGTGGCCCAATGCCACCCGCAAAGGCCGGCCGCTCGACTAATGCTTACGTATCGTCTTTTCCAGCACCACCTACATTTGTCAGGTCTCCCTCGCACACTCAATACCCGTATCCTGCATCCCCTACCATGTATGGCAGCAGGAGCCCTCCAACCAACCCTTATGCGTACTCACCTGAAGCAGCCTCTCCTCCTCTTGTCGGGCCATACCCAGGAGCTCCGATGAACTATGCTCCGTACGGAGGCTATGGCAATGGTGTTGCACCAATGGCCTATCAGGCAGCTTACTACCGATAGACATGACTGCTTTCTCTGAAGATGGTGACACTGATATGATGATAACCCTAATCCCAAACTTCCGAATGGTCTGTAATCACTAACCTTTTAATGGTAGCGATGTATGGTAGCAATGTATGTGTGTTATAATCCTTAATGCTGACCTTAATCCTTGATCCTGACTTTATTTCAAGGACAGGTTCTCTTTCTAATGTTGATTAAACTTGTAGTACTTACTAGGTGATTGTGGAAAGTAATTAAGAAATAGCTTCTTAACAAAAGGCATGAAAGATGCTTTTGCTGTTTTTCTATTTTTTTCTTTCTTTGTGTGCCCCCTTTATGTGCTCGTGGGGCAACAATATCCCATGGCTTTAGAAGCCGTCCATTAAATGAAGACTCGTCTGATTGTTGTTATCATATGTTGGTGGGGGCAACAACACCCCATAGCTTTAGGAGTCATTAATAAATATGGGTCCGTGCCAATGCATGTAGCGCGGGCTCATAGCTTTAGGACTCGTTGATTTATGTGGGTCCGTGGCAATGTTTATAGCATTGGCTTATGAATCAACTGCTCTTTTCATTATTGGACAAAATATTTGTCAAGCCTCTTTCAATAAATTGAAGAATTTTTCGGTTTTCTCATCTGGACCTTCTTTCATAGCAAAACTTGCTACCTCGTGAATAAAGCTTGGTAGAGGAAGTCCAAATCCTTCGTATAGCATTTCATAAGTGTCATCACCATCGTTCGAATCAGTTTGCCCGACATTCACATTATATGGCACAAGCGACGACAAATTCTCTCCATGAAAAATCCAACTGGTGTAACTTGAAAGAAACCCATTGATCATTAAATGTTCCACTAACAGGCCTTTCTCCACCAATTTGACATTACGACACTGTTTACATGGACACGTGACTTCATTCAACAATGGCTTATTTTCGCATGCAAATTTAATAAATTCCTTAACCCTTTGTATGTATTCCGGGTGCAACTTATACTGATTTATCCAACTTTTATCCATCTGACTCTGTCCTACACTACAAATGTCACTGCCAAATCAACAATGCTCAAAATTACCGGTCCATTCTAATTAATCTTAACCTCAATTAAATGCCTTATAATGCATGCGATATGACATCATTCACCTCTAATTGGTCTCTAATATGTTGGTCCATCCTACTTTCTCATTCAGGAATGCACAGTCTATATTGTAAAAAGCAGCTCATACTGCTCTGTTCATCTCTAACGAAATTTCGGCAGTATCTCCCCATGGTTCTCCAAATACATGACATAGACTAGGTGTACTGCTACACCTTGTCTAGTATGCACTCAGAGAACACAATGAGTTACTACATGAAATCTCTACAAAATGGACTATAAGTAGTAGAACTACTAACTACAATGCAGACTTGTGCTCCTGAACTATCCAAACTGGACAATCCAAGAAGAGCTTCATTAAAGATGACTAGGTATCTCTAATGAAGATTCTTGGACGAGTCTAAGGATTACTAGGTATCTCTAATGAAGGTTCTTGGACGAGTCTGAGGCTATTTATGCATGCATGCACCATTAATGATTGCATCCCGGTGGTGCAATCTGAATTAGTACTATCAAGCATACTAGAAGCATATCTAGTATGAAGCATATTAATGAAGAAACCAAAAGTTTCTACAATGTTCTTGATAGATTATGATAGATTCAAGAAATACATTGCTCTCTCAAATCAATCAATAAAGACCAAACTATTATGCCTTCAAATGAAAGCAAGCACAAACAAAGTCAAATATTAATTGATATGCATTTCCATATAGAATACATAAATATCTGTTTATGGCGTTTTGATACATTTTAGCATGCACCAGTTGCCGTGGTTAATAAGAGCTTGCCATAATATTACTAGTGAAATCGAATGGTAAAGATTGTCCCATAAGAGGAATAATCAGCATACCAAGACACATATATAAGCACAATGAATCCAATATTCCGATGGTTGAAATCATAGCACAATCCTCATATTGTTACTCAAAATATTGCAAGAAACACAACACATCAACCATCCCACAAAGCACAACACAAGTCTCTGATTCATTTCAACAACATATTATGCATAATCGGCTCGAGTGCTAGGCAAATAAGACTTCCACCTAAGGACACGACACTAACTAGTTAGACTAACTGGTTTTCTTGTTAGACTAACTGGTTTTCTTCATCTAAAACATTATAAAACAGCCGTATATATATATATATATACTTCTCACACTAAGTCCTCTCTACTATTTGATTTTATTCCTCTTAGCATCTAAAAATTATTAGAATGTTTAACGCGCAAGTCAAACAATATTAATGTTCATGTTCATTTTTTTTCAATGTTGATTTTAATATGTTGTACTCTAACTATATATGAGGTTGTATTAGTACACATACACACAATGCATATCATTACATATTAAGCAATACTATACCGATATAATTTTTGTACAAAAAAAACTGTGAAGTCCAATTTGAAGCAAACAATCAGAGTATCAAAAAAAAAAAATCCAATGTAACAGCATACCAGAACACATATACAGCAGAATAGAGCACAGGTACACCAAAGCAGCACACAGATACAGAGGCACCAGATTAGCATATTAGCATAAAATATAACTCTAAATTTTCCATCATGTTTATATTAGCTTCATGTAGATGATTTCTATGAAATCTTGAAAATGAAACTTTCTATTTATGTAGCTTCATGTAGAGAGCGAGAGAGCGAGAGAGAGAGAGAGAGAGAGAGTACCGATTTAAGCTTGAAATGCGAGTAATCGAGGGGTCAGATGTCAGATCTGGAGCTTTGATGGAGCTTCGAAATCGGTTCGATCTGGAGCTTCGATGGAGCTTCGAATATCTGCATCTTCGACGGAAATCACCGAATCTCTGAATCTTCGACGGAGCTTCGAAATCGGTTCGATTTGGAGCTTCGATGGAGCTTCAAAATTGCTTCGATGGAGCTTCGAATATCTGAATCTTCGACGGAGCTTAGAGAGGGTTGAGAGAGAGAGAGAGAGGGGGCTCAGATTCTCATATTCCAAATGATGCATGCGTATGGGTTGAGAGAGGGGCCCCAGATACAAAATATGGATTGAAAAGGCGCGTGCGGTATACCGCATTCGGAGGCGTTTTTCAACGCCTCCTATTATAAAACGGTGTCGTTTTTGGTTAAAAGAATATGCGGCGTTTTTTAAACGCCGTTAAATGTTAATAACAGTGAGTCAGTGACGTTTAAAAAACGTCGTTAAAAAAACGTCACCATAACCCTTTTTTCCTGTAGTGTTCGCTAGTAATTTACTTCCAAAATAGATTCATCCATAAAGTCGTATCGATTTTGCAAAAATTGCGAATCGAATCGTGAATTGAATCGTGAATCGTAAGATTTTGATAACAGAGAGAGGCATAAGGTTTGATGATAAATCCTTTTAAAACGTTTCTTAGCATTAATAATCATTTCAATAAGAAAATATATTAATCAAAATTGAATCAGTTTGATTTGATCTAGCCATGCTTTAATATGAAATTCAAGAAACCATCATAAGGGTAAATATTTGTGAAATTCACCAAACTTAATTGTGGAATTTGATCAAAGCAATGTTGTGGTGTAACGAATAACCACTCAAGACATCCATCCTCCTGGCCCCCAACCTTGAGGGAGTTCAAATATCTAAATAGATGTTGTACTGTTCGATTTGAGTTGAGAATGTTTGGAAATGGCATGGGGCTGAGGGAGGGGAGGACACTGGGAAACATGTTGGGTTGCTTGTTTAGATAGGTGAATCATGTATTCACTCTTTTCCTTGTTTTTTTTATTTTTTAGTTTATAAATTCTATCTCACTTGGTTGTGTCAGAATTTTGAGTAGTTTTTATTTTTTTTCTTTGATCTGTATTGTTTTTGTGGTTGATGATGGTGACCATAGAACAAATTCCAATTTGTGCTAAAAATTAAGAGAGAGAAGATAATGGTAAGCCCATGCTGTGGTATGATTTAGACTCTTTATGATCAAATTGCTTGTTGGGATTTGAATGGTAGAAAACTGTAGGGGAAGGAATGATGTCATTTCCTTCCATTCCAACACTGGGAAAGCAAAATACTGGTGTTTTGTAGGACAGTAAAGGAGTAACTTTTCAAGCTTGTTTTGTTTGGATTGGGCACTATATCTAAGCTCGTTTTCGCTTTTCATAAGAGAGTTAAATCATGAAGCATGTTTCCAAAAATCTGAACTTGTGGTCTGGTTGATTGGGCATGATCAAGTTGGGACAAGGTTTGGATAGAATTTTAGGCTCTTTTTTTTGTTGATATACTTTCTGTGTTTTTTTTTTTGGGGTTGGTCTGGTTGATTGGGCATGATCAAGTTGGGACAGGGTTTGGATAGAATTTTAGGCTCTTTTTTTTTGTTGATATCCTTTCTGTGTTTTTTTTTTTTTTTTAGGGGGGGGTTTGAAACCTAAATTCAGGTTGGTAGGATTAAATTGTTTGAGAATGCCACCAAAACCAAGATTAGAGGCATCAGTTTCAACAATTTTCTTCCATGCTGGATTTGGTAAAGATAAACAAGGTAGAGTTTTAACTCTAGCCGTTATTTTTTGAACAGCTTCTGTATGTTTTGGACTCCATGGTGGAGGATTTTTTTTAAGTCTGGAATATAGAATTGCTGCATCAGTAGCAAGGTTAGGATAGTAATCATGAATATAATTTAAACTACCTAGAAATCTCTGTAATTGAGTTTTATCTTTAATCTCATTTGGAAATTTAGATGCAAATTCCATGCTTCCATTAATAGGAATGATAGTACCATTATGAATATTATGGCCCAAAAACCTAATTATTGTCTGAAAAAGTTGCATTTTTGGTGCAGAAACGACTAATCCATTTCTAATGATAACATGCTTAAAAATATTAAGGTGTTTCATATGTTGATCGATTGATGAGGAGAAAATTAAAACATCATCAATATAGCAAATGGAGAATTTTGTATATGAATTAAAAATATCATTCATAATATGCTGGAATTCAGATGGTGCATTTTTCAAACCAAAAGGCATGACATTCCATTCAAAATGCCCAAAAGGTACTGTAAAAGCAGTTTTGTATCTATCTTGTTCAGCGATTTGGACTTGCCAATATCCTGATTTCATGTCAAATTTAGAAAATATGACTGCATTTTGGAGACAATCTAAAAGATCTTTTTTTATTAGGAACTGGATACCTTATCCATTGTAAAGCTTCATTTAGAGGTTTGTAATTGATGACTAATCTTGGTACACCTCTTTCAATTTCTGCATTTTTATTAACATAAAAAGCAGTACAACTCCACGGAGATCTACTAGAATGAATAAGCTTTTTCTGGAGAAGAGTATTAATTTCTACTTTACAAAGTTCTAAATACTCTTTTTTCATTTGGCTTGGTCGAGCGCGAGTTGGAATTCTCCGCTCTTCATAACCTGGTTCATAAGGTAGGGAAACAATATGTTTCTTCCTATCCCAAAAAGCATTTGAAATATCACTACAAATTTCATCTTTGAATTCTTGTTCAAGAGATTTAATTTTTTGCTGGAAAGAAGACTGTTGAAGTCTTTGTTCTGTAGTGAGGAAACTGATTTCTTTTTGTAAGAAATTAATTTGTTTTTCTTTGAAATTTACTAGATCTTTAATTTGATCTAATTCTTTTGTGGAAGGTTCTGTAATGAATTCAAAAATAATCTTCTGATTGTTCAAAGTTGTATGTATGCCGATGGAATCTATTTTAGAGATTGGCATAAGTAAGCACAGAAAAGGAGTACCCAGAATTATGGCTTGAGACATGTTCTTAATAAGAACAAAAGAAGTGGGAAGACATAATCCTTGGTTGCAAATTAAAACTTCTTGAAGTTTATACTGGATATATAAAGAATTACCACTTGCACTTGTTAGTGACTGGGTGGTTTTATGAAAGTATTTAGTAGGAATTAATCCTTCCTGAATACAATTCATATCAGCACCGCTATTCACAAGAGTATTGGCATCTTTTATGATAAAATCAGGTTTTATCATAAAGGTAATTCTGATATACCATTTCTGGAAAGTAACAGTGTTCATGAGCATAAGATAATTAGGCTCTTTAGATTCTGATTTTCCTGGAGAGTTTGAAGTGGATTCATGGTCTTTATTCTGGATCTTACTATTAATCTTTTTTAGTTCAGAGTTAATAGTAATATTAGAAGTTTGTAAATGCTTAACTTCAACTTTTAACGCATTGACTTCCATTTTTAAATCCTGGATTGTTATGGGTTTTTCTTCAGAAATATTTTTAACCCTATTGTAAACTTCTTTCATACTGTAATGTTTTGGAGGTAAAATTTATTCTTTTTTATGTTGTTGATAACATAATTCAAGAAATTTTAACTTCATTTCTGGATCTATGATTTGTTCAGCAATATTGAGCATATGCTGTTGATCATCTGTGAGGACATTGATACTAGGACTATTAATATCAAGTCCATTCATTTCAACTATTGCTTTCCAATAGTTAGCTTCTTCTGTTATTTGATTTATTTGTGGTTTACAAGCACAAATTTCTGGAGGAGACTCAGTATCACTATCAGAGGATGATGAATACATAACAGCAATACCATCGTCTGAAATAGAATCTGAATCCGACTCTTCAGAAAGCATCTGAAGAATTTGTTGCTGGATTTCGTCATCTAAAGCTAATTCGTTTAATTTTTGTTGTATCTTTGTTTTACAACGATTAGCATAGTGACCAATTTGTCCACATTTATAACATTTGACTTTAGTCTTATCTTTTTGAGGATAAGTTTTCTGCTGTTTGCCTTTAAGTTTTGAAGGCTGAGTTTGCTGGACTTGTTGTTTATAATATTTCTTTTTTCTGTATTTTTTGGAATAATCTTTTAAAGATTTTTCATACTTATGTTTTTTATGTTTATGTTTAGAAGGATATTGTATTTTAGTGTCATAGGCAAATTGTTCACAAAATTCACCTAATTCATTATGACTTTGTTTTTTCATTTGATTCTGTAATTTTAGATCATGACAGGACCTAGGTACGTGGATCACAATTCTTACTCTCAAATACGCAGAGCTTTTGTTTTGATTGCCTATTTTGCTAACTTAGGCATCGGAGGGGTTTCTAGCACACACCGGCCTGCTAGCTCACGTTTGTGTTTTTAGGTAGCAAAGCGACGATGTTTGGAGGAGCACGGACATGATCAACATGATTATACGAGAAGATTATTTCGTGCTCACACAATTGATGCCGTTTGTGGAAAAGATCACAGAGAACAAACCTTTTGATTGAGTTTTCTGCATGACAATGATGATTATTTGAGCGATTTGGATTATTATGCTTGTCTGCATGACAATGATGATTAACCGTCCATTGATACAAATTTCAATAAAAGAACTCAGTGATATTAACACAAGATTTTGTGCTTAATTGAGACAAAATTAAATGCCTTCTAGGAGAGAACTGGGTAGAAGATCCTATAGTATGTAATCGTTGATTAGCTGTATTCTACCATGATGAATGCCTGAGCATTGCATAGGCTGCTCAGTTTTCACTTCAATTTGAAAAGTTCTAAAACCTAAAGGCACTTATTGCATGTTTGCTATGAAGCATGGGTACTTAAAAAAAAACATGTTGTACCCGTACCGGGTTCTTACCGACATATAGTACCTCGTATGGTACTTCTGCATACGTATCGGGTACACGAAAAACGTACCCAAATTTTTTTTTCTAAATTTTTGGCGTACTTAGACGTACCTAGTATATAGTCAACCCGTACTGTACTTCAGTTGAAACAATATTTTTTTCTACTACAGAGATATAGCTCATTTTTCTAAAATTTTTTTTAAAATTTTTAGTTTTATACTTAGCATGATTTAAAATTAAACTATAGTTTGTAAGTTATTTAATATATTGACATTTAATTTTGATTTATACATTTATTTTTGGCATTAAATGTTAATTATAGGTTGGATCTTAACAAATCAAACTATTTAATTAATTTTCACATTACTCTAAATTAAAATAAATATTTTTTTACAAGCGTAGCAAGCCGTACTCGTACCTTATTTTTTTTGGATTTTAGCGTATCGATGTACCCGTATTGTACCAGTACTCGTACCCGTACCTGTGCTTCATAGAATGTTTGTTTATGCGGAGAACTAGATCAAGAGGTTTTGGAGGGTTGCCCCTTCCTCATTTGTTGGAGTTGATGCATTGCACATGCTTTTTTGGTTTCATTTCTTTTGGTTTGAATTAATTTCTGTGTGTCTTTTAGCTGGTGTTCCCTTATATATTTGGCTTGGTGTGCCCTGAACTTGTTTTGAGTGGTGGGGTAAGACTGTAAGAGGAATCTCTTTGAACCAAAGCTTATTGCCATCCCTAATTTGTTGGCCTACAACCTTTCTAGTTATGACGATTTACATGTGGTTATTAAAAACAAATGAAAATTGAATTAGGCTGCCATTGGTAAGTTTGCCACAAAAATTTTGTTCTTACTTCTTTCAGTTTGAGGAAGCCTTCTTTGTCTTCATCACTTGTTTTTCTTGGCATGGTTGTAATCCATGAAGGGATGATTCACATGGTGTCCATCTACATACTATTTGTTAGAATAAACAAGGTCGTCGATGACGGCGTGTGGTATTTGATCCCATTTTGTTTGATGTGGTTAGTGTGGTTGGAACGTAATAGACGCACATTTCAGGAGATTCCGCGTACAATTAGTTGGCTTGAGAGTCGTTTACTTGTTTTGTATAGTTGGTTGGAATTGGAAATTGATCCTGATATGTCTGGTTTTTTAGAGTTCTTGGACGAGGTTATTGGTTAGAGCGTGATTCCCCTTGTGGGGTTTTGTATTCTTTGCATTTTTTAATAAAGGTCGCTTGCTTATTTATCAAAAAAAAATATTACTCTTTCAACAAAATTAAGCTCAGATTGAGAAACACAAACACTCCTGAAAAAGTGTTGTGTTCGTGTCTGACAGTCACTATTTTTACTCAGACCCGTACCAGTGTTGGACATGAACAAATTTTCTATTTTTATTTTAATTTTTTAAAAAAAATTAGAAATGGCCACGCTTTGAACACTTGGGGATACAAATTTATTGCTTAAGACACATGAAACGCACTGAAGAAGATAACTCTTGGGAGTTATTTATCAAAATCAAAATAATATGGATTTATACTTAATAATTTCTCAATTAGGCGTTTCAGTTTTAGGAACTCTAATGGCCGAAACTTCAATTTGTTTGTAAATATAGCATTTTAAAATGGATAGTAGGATTTTATATTCACACTTTTTTTTTCCAATATATAGAATTTGGAAAAGATCTCGTACTATTTTGACATATTAAAATATATTCTTGTATAAAAAACTAAAATATGAAGATTTTTGTGGTGTAAAGTTAAATTCTTGTTTTTGTTTTAATAGACTTGCCTTGATATAATTAAAGGTTAATTCTGATTCTGGGGGATTCATGATTGAGTTGGACTGGTTGTATACAGATATGATTGAAGAATTGATCAGCAGGGGTCAGCAGGTTGATGCAGTCCATTTTACTTTTGAAGTTGGCCTTGAGAACAAGTTTCCCCCCGTCCCACTGCTGAGGGCTTTCCTGAAGGATGCGAAAAAAGCTGCTACTGCTATTTTGGAGGATCATAACAATTCTAGCCGAGTGGTATTAATTTTTTTATTTTGTTCTTCATGACATATTTTGTTTTATTGGTTTATACACCTATGAACTATATGTTACAAAAGTGAATCCTTTTATTGTTCCCTGAGTTTTCTCAAGTAGTATACACTATTCTCTTTCTTTGTCCAAGTTCTATATCTGTGATGAATGGCACCGAATCTTGATCTACCACTGCCAGAAACATTTCCAAAATTAAATTTATTGTGCTATAAACTATTCCGGCAAATGGAGAAATATTTTTTTTGCTACACCCAGTTTAGCAGTCAAGAAAACTTGCTTCTGCTATTTGTGGATTCCTCACAAAAGTGGCATTTTGTTTTCCATTTGCATTAAATGTTCTTTGGGGCTATAAAACTGTAAGTTCAGGAATAGGTTAATGTTAATTCTCATAAACGATATGATACAGGCTCTAAAACAGTGGCAATTCTTTGTATTTTGCAGTATCTTGCTGCACGCAAGGAGCAGTCAGCACTTCGGGCTGTCATCAAGTGCATTGAAGAGTACAAACTCGAGGCAGAATTCCCTTCAGAACATCTCAAGAAGCGCCTTGAACAACTAGAAAAAACCAAGAGTGAGAAGAGAAAGCCATCTACTGTTCCGGCTAACAAAAGAACCCGAGCGAACAATGGTGGCCCAATGCCACCCGCAAAGGCCGGCCGCTCGACTAATGCTTACGTATCGTCTTTTCCAGCACCACCTACATTTGTCAGGTCTCCCTCGCACACTCAATACCCGTATCCTGCATCCCCTACCATGTATGGCAGCAGGAGCCCTCCAACCAACCCTTATGCGTACTCACCTGAAGCAGCCTCTCCTCCTCTTGTCGGGCCATACCCAGGAGCTCCGATGAACTATGCTCCGTACGGAGGCTATGGCAATGGTGTTGCACCAATGGCCTATCAGGCAGCTTACTACCGATAGACATGACTGCTTTCTCTGAAGATGGTGACACTGATATGATGATAACCCTAATCCCAAACTTCCGAATGGTCTGTAATCACTAACCTTTTAATGGTAGCGATGTATGGTAGCAATGTATGTGTGTTATAATCCTTAATGCTGACCTTAATCCTTGATCCTGACTTTATTTCAAGGACAGGTTCTCTTTCTAATGTTGATTAAACTTGTAGTACTTACTAGGTGATTGTGGAAAGTAATTAAGAAATAGCTTCTTAACAAAAGGCATGAAAGATGCTTTTGCTGTTTTTCTATTTTTTTCTTTCTTTGTGTGCCCCCTTTATGTGCTCGTGGGGCAACAATATCCCATGGCTTTAGAAGCCGTCCATTAAATGAAGACTCGTCTGATTGTTGTTATCATATGCTGGTGGGGGCAACAACACCCCATAGCTTTAGGAGTCATTAATAAATATGGGTCCGTGCCAATGCATGTAGCGCGGGCACATAGCTTTAGGACTCGTTGATTTATGTGGGTCCGTGGCAATGTTTATAGCATTGGCTTATGAATCAACTGCTCTTTTCATTATTGGACAAAATATTTGTCAAATGCCTTCATGATTTGTGTTTATGTTTGGTATGTGGTTTGATGGATTTGGTTTTGTTAGAGCACCATTTCTTTTGCATTATTTGAGAAGAAAGATTAATATGAGGTGTGATTCCTTGTGTCTAATGTATCATAATGAAACAAAGATAGCCATGCTCATGTGCTCGTAGCCTCTCTGTGTGTAAAAGGAACAGGAAAACTCTCTTCTATGTTTAGTTGTCGTTTGGCTATGACTTTTTTAGCTTAGGCAAAAAAAGTTTATTTGGGTTAGTTTTTTTTGAATTTTTTGACTTCTGTGAGAAAAAAAATGAAATAATTATTGTTTTGGAGGTGATATTTTGTCTTATTGACTTATTTAGTTTATTTTGTCCTTTGTGTTTATTTAGGCAAAAAAAGCCCCAGCCAAACGAAGCCTTAATGGCCTTTGAAATGTACATTTAACATGTAAGGTTATATCAAATCAAATTAATTCCTCTTTATGAATTTTTATATATTTATTATTTTTCTGTTTTGTCAATTTATTTATTTATTATTATTTTGTTTTGTTAAGAATTATATACTCATTTTAAGAGATTCAAAGGAAAATTTCATGAGTTAATTGTCAGGTTGAGTAATACAGCCCTCTTCTTTATTCAAATTTAGAACAATCTTTAAAAATAATGTTTTAATAAGGTAGGGCGGTTGCTGAGGCCTGCGGTGTGAGGGTGGTGGTAGAGAGGTCTTGATCTTTGTTTGGATGTGCTACTGATGTTGGCCCTTGCATCTTTGGAATTAATTTTCGATGTTTTTCTATATTTGTTAAATTTTATGTACGGAGACTATCTACATTTTTTTATCTTTATATATATGCAGTTTAATTGTTTTCATAAAAAAAATGAGTTATAAGTACTAAAACATTAATGTTGTGTTAATAGTAAGGATGTTATTTATTTTTATTTTTATTTTTTTACACAATTCAAAATAGAAATGTTATATGCGAGTCTTATTATGAGAGATGTATAAATGAGGAGAATTGTGAAGCTTTAGTTATAGCTAAATCTTAATCTGATGATAAATTTGAAATATAATTTAATAATATTGAAATATATCTCATGATTTAGCTAATCATTGGAGATCTCAAAATTAAATTTCATGTTTCTTTCTTCTGTTTTTTTTTTTTTAAACAAGGCTTTTGCCAATGGAGAAGATTTAAGCATGAATTTTCACATATTAATTTATGAAGAGAAAGAAAAGAAAAGAGATATGATATATAAGTCGAATTTTTTTTCACCAAAATTCAAAAATCAAACAACATGATTCTAATCCAATTTTTTTTTTCATAAAAAAATAATAATTAGACAATAATTGCTTAACTTGTACAACTTTGGATGAATCCATTTAAGTTTTTAATTTTAAATTTTTGGCAAAAAAATATTTAAAAAATAAGTACATAATTTTGCTTTAACTTGGACGATCTCTATCTGCGTCGAGACTCTGAAGTAAGCTTCGGTCTCTCATCTCATTCCCTATTCCTCTCTCTCTCTCTCTCTCTCTCCCTGTTCTCTTCTTGTCTACCAACAAGTTAGGGTTTTCTATTTCATGTATTGCTTAAATCATTGATTTGCACCCTTTATACACATATATGTGTGTAGATATATATGTATTTCAATCTTATTTCAGTTTTGCTTATAGATTTTCTTAACACTCAATAATCACTCGAAAATTGGTATATGTGTTTGTTCTTTGTTTCGTTACCCTCTGTTTGGTTACCTGGAAAACGAAGAAAAAAGAAGAGAAACACCAACATGGTTGTCTTACTCACTCATTTCGAATGCTCACACACCACCTGTTTGATAATTTGCTCCTTCGAACTCTACACACATCACGCCCAATCCTTCCTCAGTTTCACTATTTGTTCTAGTCCATTAGCTGTTAAATGAACTCTTCATAGCTCTGCTCAACTGTCTTACCTGACCCAAATGACACTAGTGTTCTTTAGAAGAGGACACCGATGGTGAATTCTTGTTTTCAAAGGGTATTTGGGTTTTCTACGTGGGCATCGAATTTTCTTGATTCTGAGAATGGGGCAACTGAATCATGGTCGGTTCATGACAAGGGAATTGCTTCTGAAAATGATAGTAGTGGGCTTCACCTTTCGCCATTGTTTTCGCACGGTAGAGCTCATTTGGAGAATTACAAAATTGAGGTTGTAGATGCAGAGGCCTGGCGGGTTTCCTCGGGCTTAGTTGAGGCTTGCAGAGGAATGGACAGGGAATCGGAAAGAAAGGGTTTGGTTGTGGAAACTGTAGATGAGATGGGTAGTTCTGCCCCATCCAATAAGGATGACCCGGATTTTGATGATATTGAGGACATGAGAATCCGAGGACATCTTTTCTATAAGCTTGATAGGGATTCCAAAGAGTTTGAAGAACACAGTTTTGACTTCCATCGCAAGAAATCTTTGAAGAACGAGAGTGATCGAAAAGAGAGCACAAAGAAGAAAATTTCAAATCCTGGAGTTGACAAATCCTTGAAGACTAAAGAGGAACGAAAAGAAAGTAAAAAGAAAGAAAACCCGATTTATAAATTGGCTTCTAGAAGTGAAGGACTTGCCAAACTTGTTAAAAATGAGGCTTTTATTTCTTCGCTTCATGAAAACGACAGTTGTGGTGTTACGAAGAAAGTAAGGACTCTGACTTTCAACCAGCTTACTGCCCCTTACCACGAACCGTTTTGCTTGGATATTTACATATCAAAAGGATCTGTCCGGGCCTGTATTATTCACCGGGCTACTAGTAAGGTTGTTGCTGTAGCACATTCTATTTCTAAGGACATGAAATTTGACCTAGCCTCGACAAAGAATGCAACTGCTTGTACTGCTGTAGGGGAAGTTTTAGCTCAGAGAGCATTGGCTGATGATATCCACAATGCAGTTTACACACCACGGAAAGGGGAGAAATTGGAGGGGAAGCTTCAGATTGTTCTTCAGGCTATCACTGATAATGGTGTTAATGTGAAGGTTAAGATCAAGCGAAGAAAAGTAAAGAAAGCATGGCAATCAGCTACTGCTTAGGGCCATTGTCATCATCCAATTTGTCTGTTTGATCAGGTCCAAGAACTTGCTGCATTTCCATATTTCATTTGAAATTATGGTTCTGATTGTGTCAGTGCAAGCTATTTATCTGAAGTAGGTGGTGCAAAGTAGAATTCAACATGAATGTTTTGCTGAGAAGTGGTTTTTTATAGAACAAAGAGGAGCCTACGCTATTTGCTTTCCAAGAAGACATGAGAAGGGAAGAGCCTATGCTGTATTGTACGTGGATTTTAAATTTGTAATGAATGAAATAATTAATAAATTGAAATCCCTTTTCCAACTTGTCAATCGTATGGTGTCAATCAGTCATTGCACTTCTGAGGAAATCTTGCATTTTAACTATTTGTTGTTTGTTTGGAATGATATATGGCTAAATCGAAGAATTTTTTAAGGGATTTAACCATTAACAAAATCACCATATTCAGTTCATTAGCTAATCACATCCTGTAGCATCCTGCCATTGCCCGATTTGGCTTTTAGCTGTGAGCTCCTATCTTTCCAGCAGAAACTTGCATTCTTCAATAAGAGTTCTTTTTGAGGATGGATGTGCTGATTATCTGGCCAATGTTGGTGTTGATCAACAAATGTTTTAATTTTGGAGCAAAATCCAGTTGGAGTCACCAGCCTCTTTCTATCTGATATGATGGAAATGGCCTTAAGAGAGGTCTCCCATCCAATAAGCTGCTTTGTTTCTCTTCCCATACAAATATATATATGTGTATATATATATTCTTGAAGTTGTGGCACACACAACACATGCCCGCCACACACAAAATATGGAGCATTTGAAGGTTGTTTCTTGCTCTTTTTTACATCTTTATTCACCCACCATCAATGTTGGGTTTGAAACTGCCACAGATATGGATGAATGTGGGTCTAATACATTGATTTTACAGATTTAGTCTTTTTTGTTATTGGGGTGGACTGATTTCTTGTGGGTTTTTTTGAAACAAAAATATCAAGCTTTGAAACTACATTCACACCAAATTGGGCTGTTCGCTTTATCTAAATAACAGTACAGATTGGGTGGGTGAGATTTGCACACCTAGATACACCAATTTGCAACCTGTTTTTCAAGCTCGGCATTTCCTCAAAATCCAAGCAACATGTTAGCATTAATCAACAATTTACTCTGCTCAACAAATAACTAGATTATCTTTATTGTCAAATTGAAGACTTGTACAAGAACATACACTAACATACACACAACTCAGTCATTGGCAGTAGCCAGTTGCAATGACAGTAGCTCTTCCTCAGGTATCGTCCTAATCTGACAATCTGATTGCGGGTACGACACGCACAGCAGAGCGTACCCGCGCTCCACAACATCCGCGCTCCACAACATCGTCACTGAGCATGCCTTCGCTCTGATCTACCGTGCCATTCAAAAGCTTAGCCGGGCAAGTCATGCACACACCGAGCTTGCAGTCATGTGGCACAAACAGGCCTGAGTCCAATGCCTTGGACAGAATTGTCTCATCGGGTTCGACCTCTAGCTCAGTGGTTCGACCCTCGTGTTCAATTACCACTTTGTGAGAGTGGACGGTGGTTAGTGAGGGCCACCGCCGCCGCGAGGCTGGCCACGCAAGGAGGTTCGGGGGGAGAGCAGGGTGGTGGTTTGTGGGTTTTGTGAGAGTAAGGGAAGGATGTGTGGTCGTGAAGTGAAGGGTTGCCATGCTTTCTTGGCAATGAGAGAAATGAGGGAAAGGTCGTTTTGGGGAGCGTTGAGGAGATATGTGGTGTTTGAGAGGATAAGGTTTGTTTTTCAAAAGAATGCACCACTAGGCTCTGTTTTTCAAAACAATAGGAAAATATTGAAATGGGCAACAATATTTGGTATTGGTTTAGAAAAGTATAGCATTTTACAAATAAACAATTTATATAAATATTGTGTGAGGTAATAAATAATCTCACTTCTCCCATAAATTATTTCATGAGATACTTATTAATTTTTTATCATTCTTTGTTTTTAGCACCATATAATTATTAGACCCGGATATTAATGAGATTTACCGTCAATATAAAATTTCCGAAAGATCGAATAATTGCTCTACTTCTACTCAATTTCCTCATTTCTAAATACAAGACAATAGAACTTATAATATTAAATTCACAAGAGATTCACTCTTGCAATGAGAAAATATGGTAAACAAGAAATTATGTTTTAACATTTTTTCATAAATTTTTTAACCAATCTATTGTTTAAAAAACAAAGGTTATTAATGTGATTTAAAGTTTTAAAAACACAATGTGTCATTACTATATCATTATGTTGTTTCCCTAAAGAAATTTAAAATTGGGTTTTGGATTGAGAAGTGTTGTTGGGCTTAGTAGTTGGGCAATGGAACCATGTCAATGATTTGATGAGATCAATATGTAAGATTCATAGCATGATTAGTAGTGAGAATGATTGATTATTCAACTGAATTTTGGGATGATAATTTTGTCTTGACCATATTTATTTTATAATAGATATGGAAATATATAAGTTTAATTAGATAAAATGTTTATGAAAATCTAATCAACATAACAAAAAATATTAGAGTTTGATTGAATTAATAATTTCAATTTTGTATTATAATATGTTCGATTAAATATACATATTGGCTTTGTTTGGAATGAGCTATTTTAGTTAAATTAGCTAAAAAAGACTAAATATGTTAATTTAATCAATAAGACAAAATATCACATGTAAGTCATAATTATTTAACTTTTTCACTCATAACTATCAAATCAACTACAAAAATTTCAAAATTTATCTCAACACAACTTTTTTAGTAAGTTAGTTAAACAACTCAATCTTTTAACTTAAAAATTAAAACGTCATTAAGAAAAATCAAAAAGTCAACAATCAAAAAGTCAAAAAAATTATTTTTTCTCTACTTTTGCACAACTTTTTATAAAAAGTTAAAAAGTCACTCCAAACATATTAATTTTTTTACCTCATATTTTAGTAAAAAAATTACTAAAACAATATTTTTCCAAACAATTTGTAAAAAGTTAAAAGATCACTATAAATTATTATGAAAAATTTACCCATAAATCTCATATGGGAGAATGTTGATCCATTTAGTCATAAGAGTTTTTTTATGAACCAATTAGTCCTTTTTATTTTGAAAAGTTATATTTATTTGATTTTGTATCATTTGATTTTAAGTGAATGTCTTTTTATAATTCATTTTTCTATTTTTTCTAATTCATTTTTAGGATATGAATGGAAAAGTTGGGTGTAGAAGATTCTTTTTGGAAGAATTGTTGGCTGAAGTGTTGGTTGTCGAGTGTGTAAATCTACATTTATATAGTGTGATTTTTTGGTGTTACATTAGAGTATTACATTAGAGTGCTACGTTTAGAAAAAGTACATTAAGGAATTTTTGTGTGTTACATTGACTGGAGTGCTACGTTTGGAAAAAATGCATTAAGGAGTTTTTTAGGAATGTTGTGCCATTTCGTTTGGAAAAAGTATACTAACAAATGTTTTAATGTGTTACATGAAAGTGTTACGTTTGAAAAAAGTATACTAAGGAGTTTTTGTATGTTACATTGATTGGAATGTTACATTTGAAAAAAATATACTAAGAATTTCTTTTAGAATGTTACGTTATTACGTTTGAGAAAAGTATGTTCAGGAATTTTTTTGTATTATATTGATTGGAGTGTTATGTTTTGGAAAAGTACATTAAAGAATTTTTTAGTATATTACATTGGAACGTTACATTTGGATAAAAAGTTTTTGTGTGTTATATTGATTGAAGTGTTATGTTTGGAAAAAGTACATTGAAGAATTTTTTAGTGTGTTACATTGGAATGTTATGTTTTTTGAATGTTACATTGAAGGTTACGTTTGAAAAAAAGTACACTAGGAAATTTTCTTGAAGTATTACATTTAGTAATTTCAATATTATGAAAAAATTCACATTTTGACCATTTATGTAATTTACACTAACATGAAATTTTTAAATCCATAAGAAAATAAAGAACCAAACAGTTCATAAGATTACTATTTAGGATTTATGGTGCTTTACCCAATTATTATATCACTTTTCTCTATAACCAAAAATAAATAAATAAATAAATAAGTGCTAAATTAGTTCATCTCGAAGAGAAATTTAGGGGTCTGTTTGGTTTAGTTTTAGAATAATGATTTAAGTGTAAAGTTACGTTTTGAGTTTTTGAATCATGATTTGAAAAAAAAAAAAATTATTTAGTTATTAGTTTTGAAAATAGTTTTGAGATAATTTATAATTTTTTTAATTGATTGATGTATAGAATATGAGAGAAGAGATGAGAGATGTGAAAAAACATAATTGATTGATTGATTAATAATAAAAAAAATAAAAAAGAGAAATTTTAAAAATAATTTTAAATTATATTTTAAAAATATATTTAATTAACATATTCGTTTAAACCATGATTTAAAAACAGAATTGAGTTTTGAAAGTAACCGAAAACCGCCTTAATCCCATATTCTTCTTTTTTTAAATTAGGGCTAAATCTCTGAGAGTCTTGACTCTCTCTGGACTCGAGGACGCAGCTACAACGAAAAGCCCACTTTTCCAGGTTAGGGTAGGGCTTCTACTCTCCTCATCTTCTTCTTGTTCTCACTCAACGTTTCTGCTGGGCGAACAGACCACTCTCCAATCCAGCGATAACTTCATCTCTTGCAAAGCTCTCCGGCTCCGGACGAGAAAAAGCACTCTAGTCTAGGTACCCACTCTCCTCCTCTCTGCCACCACACTATCCTCCCTAAATTTTCACAATTTAACTGGATTCTGTTTCTCAGATGTGTTCATTTTTGCTCAATTTAATTTTTTTGATCTATTGATTGTGGTTGTAATCATGTTTTATTTTTTGGGTTGAATTCGCATATCGAAACTTTCTTTGATTGTTGTATGATGGGCTAGGGGACTGATAATGGTTTGGGTGTGTGTTTGTAGTTTATTTTCTTCTACTTGTACATGTATGTTTTCTTTTCTTCTGGCAAAAATGGAAAAAATATATTATATTTTTAATTTGTTTTTACATAGTTTTCTTTAGTTGACGTGTTTAAGATTAGAATTTTGAATCTTTTAGTAAACTTTAATGCTTTATATTTGTGACTTATGTATTATTTTACTTCAATTTTAAGAGTTTGGATTTTGATTGTGCTCTTTATTCATGTAATACGAATTGATTTTAGTAGGATGCTTTTATTTCTTTCATTACCATGATTGTAGTTCTAATTTCTAACTTCTAACTTCTAACTTCTAACTTCTAAATTTGATAGATTTTTAGATGGCTTTTGCTTGTCAAAAGTATTGTTCAACGATTTTAGGATAATGGATTCAATGAATAAAAATATAAGTTATTTGCTTTGGATTGTTATAAGTTATAAAACTTATGTGTCATTCTCTTAACCCTATATTCCAAGTAATATTATTAAATTGTGATTTGTGTATTTATGTTATATTTTTTATTTTATAAATAAGCAAAAATATTAGAAGAAAATTCAGGTTTCTTAGGTAATTTATATAAAAAAAATAAAATAAAATTAGTAACTATATTTTAGATTGACCTCAAATGATAATTAGAAGACTAGATTGTTCCCAAGATGCTATCTCTATATACTTTTTCATTCAGTTTGATGGGGTGGCTTGAAAATTCCCACCCCAAACATGTAAATCCATTACATATTTAGTTTGTTAGTCACTGTTGCCAATCCCCAAACTTATTTTCATAACAAAGTATTGAGTCGAATGTGTTGTACATGGTTTCCACATCAACTAACTTTCTTTTTTTCGCTGCAAGTTAGTTGTGCGCAATGTATTTCTAGTTGATGCTACTTTAGCAATGCTTTGAATTTTTTTTTTAAAGATAGGACCAAGACTGATCTAATGAGAATTTCCATCTTTTTTTTGTTGCTAGTTTATTTTGTGTTGATAAGTAACTTGTGTGATTCCTTGTAATGCACAAATTCCAGAATTTTTTTTTTAATATACTCGTGCAAGTGTTTGAAAACATTATTGGGATTTTGAAAAGGCAAAAAGCATCAGGTTGGGCAGTAAGGCCTTCAAGCAGTGTGGAATTGGTCTTTAGCATAGTTGTTAAATCGGAATTCAAATCGTGAATCAAAATGGCCTCATACAAATCGCGAATCAAATCGAATTGAATCGTGAATTGCAAAAATTCAGTCACTTTCTCTAAATTACTTAAAAGATATAACTACACACTTGGATGTTACATATATCTTATGAATATGAAATATTTAGACTTAAATCAATGAAAATGTTATTTTGAATGATGATCACATAGTTTAATAGGTAAAAAATTTACAAATATTCCTATGTAAGATCACCATCTTACCTTCTATTTTTTAGATATTTCTTATCAACCATTCTTAATAAAGAGAGTAAATAAAGATAAACCCTTAATTTCCAAAGTAATAATAATTTAACAATAATATTGATATTTGGACAATAAGTGTACATATTTTTTTGAGTAACAACGACCAAATAATAAGAAAAAATTAGGGCTAATCTCCGAGAGTCTTGACTCTCTCTCGACTCGAAGACGCAGCGACAGCGAAAAGCTCACTTCTCTAGGTTCGGGTAGGGCTTCTACTCTCCTCATTTTCTTCTTCTTCTTCTTCTTCTTCTTCTCACTCAACGTCTCTGCTGGGCGAACAGACCACTCTCCAATCCAGCGATAACTTCATCTCCTGCGAAGCTCTCCGGCTCCGGACGAGGAAGAGCACTCTAGTCTAGGTACCCACTCTCCTCCTCTCTGCCACCACACTATCCTCCCTAAATTTTCACAATTTAACTGGATTCTGTTTCTCAGATGTGTTCACTTTTGCTCAATTTAATTTTTTGATCTATTGATTGTGGTTGTAATCATGTTTTATTTTTTGGGTTGAATTCGCATATCGAAGCTTTCTTTGATTGTTGTATGATGGGCTAGGGGACTGATAATGGTTTGGGTGTGTGTTTGTAGTTTATTTTCTTCTATTTGTACATGTATATTTTCTTTTCTTCTGGCAAAAATGGAAAAAATATATTATCTTTTTAGTTTGTTTTTACATAGTTTTCTTTAGTTGACGTGTTTAAGATTGGAATTTTGGATCTTTTAGTAACCTTTAATGCTTTATACTTGTGACTTATTGTAATGCCCCAAAAATAATATAATAAAGATAACTCATATGCGGAATAAATATGAGAAATAACATACTTTCATACATCAGAGTCTACTGTTTAACAACCAGTTAAATGCCATGTAGACTTACATCTTTCCAAGTCATTGCTTGGTTACACAAATTGAGTCTCGCTCATTACATCTTAAGCCCTTGACTTTACAAATACCAACATACACTCAACAAAACATAATTAAGAAGCTCTTGCTTCCCTAAAGTCCATCAACGCTATTGCCTAGCACTCGGCCAAACAACAAGTGAAGCAGTACAATCCATCACTACATTACACTTATGAAATGGTAAAACCCATGGTTTGATCTTCAAATCCGAAAAGCATTCCCTGTACAGATGTGCAGGCAGGGGGTGAGCAAAGCCCACCGAACAATCTCATATTAAAACATTAAAAGATATGTGGGGATAAAGATACTTATACATATACGTGAAATTATATCATGTCAAAATCATATGATTTTATTACATAATCTCTTAAATCCAAAGCCTGCATATTTATATGCCAATAAGACCAATCTTATTCCATTTTCCTTTCAATTCATATCCAGGTCATATATGCTACTCAATTCATGAGTTAAATTCATTATATTTTAATAACCAAAATGAGACTACAACTCAATGGTTTTCCAATTATGCACAACACACATAAACACTTCAAACTTTGCCATTTTACGGATATTTCGTCTGAAGGAACCGACACCCATTTATATATAGATTTCTGGGTCTTTCACTCAGGACACTCCGGCCAACTTGCTTTAAATGGAGTCTATCCCCTTTCTCCTCCCAAATAAATATACATATGCAATGTATTTATGAACATAATCATATATGGAGTACATCTCCTTTCTCCTCCCAATAAACATACATACGCAATGTATTTATAACATAGTCATATATGGAGTACATCCCCTTTCTCCTCCCAATAAACATACATATGCAATGTATTTATAACACGGTCATATTCAATGACAACCAACAATAGATTAGCATTGTATCGCCTAATCCTCATACAATTTCTACAACAATCATAGTTATCCTCTACCGATAGCCTAATACATTTATTTCCAAGAGATGTTCAATATCGGAATAAATAGTTTATTCAAAACTTCCGTAGGTGAGATAATACATATCCAATATCACCATCTATATCAATAACCATTCAATTTAACATATTCAATGTTAATTCTAATTATTTATACAAAATAATCATTTTATCAAATTAGGGCAAAAATTTCCCTTTTTCCATTATTGACCCAAACACCCAAAATCAACTATTTTGGTACACCAAGGTCTTATATTCAAGGGTTTGGTTATGGTATGCAACTTACACCTTACACCTTATACCTTACACTTACACCTTACACTTACACCTTTTGTAAAAAATTAAACCTTACACTTACACCTTTTTTGAGGTTGCACACCATGTGCAACCCACTTACACCTTACACCTTACACTTACACCTTACACTTACACCTTATACTTATACTTACACCTTACACTTACACTTTTTGTGTAAGTGGCACATGGTGTGCACTTGCACACTTAAGAAAACTCCTATATTCAAACCCCACACTCATTTTATCTCTTATACATAAAAAATCCCTTTTTTCATTTCACACCAAAATCTTAGATTTGTCCAAACCACAACCAAATTTCATCATCTATACAATAGCAAATAACTAAGCTAAAAATCATATTAGAGTGTAGAAAATCCCTACTTATTAAATATTACCATGTTGATCAAAATTCTCATTTCTCATTTCAATATTATTTCTAATACAATTTCAAGAGATAATACAACAATATCCATGTTCATATAGTCTACACATGTTAATCAACATTCCCAATTTAGTCATTTCAAGACAAATTTGTAACATATTATATATCAAACTTCCAAAGTTCCATCATTTCTCATCCTTCCAAGAAATCCCTCATTTAAATGCAACATATTAAATTTTCACCGATAGCCAAAATAGTTACCTCTAACATATTAATTAAAAGATAACAACATGGACATACAATCCAACATATAACTATAACTTAGAATCTCCCGTGATTCCCAACATTTAGAAACAAATCATATTCCACATTTTATCAAATATGAACAACTACACTAGTTTTCATATCACAATCACGTCCGGTAACCTATCAATGTCTATTTCTAACCGTGTCGGTTTTATTCCAACAAATACATTAAGTAAAATAATACCGTTAATGCCCAAGAAAACATCATTTTCTTTCCAAACTCATTCTCCAAACATTATTCAGCTATGACATCTTATTTTGATCGAAAGCGCCAAAAGTTAAACGTAATTCCTTTGTTTTCTTTAAAAATGCTCTTTTGGCCACAAACCGTTAAAAATTTCAAAACCAATCGAATCGAAGCCCGTTTTTGTTCAAATTTAAAATATAACTCTTTCATAACCTTACAAACATATTCTAAATTTACACTTTCGCAATTTGAGCATCAATTTTTTATTTTTCTCAAAATTTCTCTTTTAAGCAAATAAAACACAAAATTTTCAAAAATTCTAATTAAATTATATACAACTCTAAACTCCATATAATCAAGCAAAAGTGCATAAAGAAGTGTAGGAAAAATCTCTACTTAACAATTTACACAATATTCCTCAATATCAATTTATTTTTCTCAAAAATAAATTCCAAAACTCAATGATGAGATAAATTTTTCAACATTAATTTCTCAAAATAAATTATCTAACCATAATATGATGTAGATATAATCTATACAATTATTAAATTTTATTTTTGGATTTCTTTTACAAAATTAATAACACAAAATGATTTTCCCAAAATCAATCTCAAAATACCAACATTCTTAACATTTCAACATAATTTTTCTTCCAAAAATTACCAAACAAAAATCTGAAAATATGTCTATATGCAATATCTCTTATAATGATATATTTTCTCAAAATAACCCTAACGTAGCTTTAATGTAAAAATATAAAGAAAGTCTCTACCTCAAATATGAAGAAAAACAAATCTGAAAATGTAAACGTCGCCCGATCATGAATCCGAGACTGCTGGTGTGAAGAGTGCAGCGAGCTCTCCAACTTCCGTTTACAAAGATTGTGCAAAATCTCACTCTAAGGACTCCCACTTTAAGCTCAAAGCTTGAGTAACAATGGTGGAAATTTGAGAGAGAGAGATGTTGGGAGCTCTCTGCTCAACCAACTCAAGGAAAATGAAATGAAATGGAAAGGAAAGGGAAGGGAGATGAAATGATGGCAAGGAGACAAAATGGGGCCCACCCACATGGGTGTGTCTCCCAAAGCTTGATTTTTTTCCAAAAATATAATTTTTATAATAATACCTCAAAATTTTATAATATAAATTATAAAATGATATAATTTTTCTCACCACAAAATATAATATTTTTGTACACCACAAAATATATACTAAATTTATTCACTATAAAAACATATAATTTTTCACCATATGAGACACACCATAAAATCAACTATCAAATATTTATTATAATCCTATATAATAAATAATAACAACTCCTAAGGTGGTTACTACCAATCATATAATAAAAATGACCAAACAGTTAAACATGAGTCATTAAACAAACTCAAATTAAATTAAATCTAAGCCATGGGTCCTGAATTAAATTTTTACCCATAAGCCAAACATGGCCCAATTATATACCAAAATAGACTCAACAAATTTATCTCAAGTCATGGTCTAAACATTCAAAATTAAATAACAAAATTCTACTATAAATTAAACTGAACACCAATCAGTCCGTGAATTTTTATAAAATAAATACTCATTATTTAATTCTAAAAGTTTTATCCAATGTCCTAGACTCATATGGGAAAAACATATAAAAATTTTATAATTTTCTGAGATCGGAAACTATTTTTAAAAAATACAAAACCGAACTGTTTTCGCATATAATTTACACCACAATCAAATTCAAAAATTGGCTCAATTAAATTATGAACTGGCTATTTAAAAAAAAAAATCTGGGTCATTACACTTATGTATTATTTTACTTCAATTTTAAGAGTTTGGATTTTGATTGTGCTCTTTATTCATGTAATACGAATTGCTTTTAGTAGGATGCTTTTATTTCTTTCATTACCATGATTGTAGATCTCACTCTAACTTCTAACTTCTAACTTCTAAATTTGATAGATTTTTAGATGGCTTTTGCTTGTCAAAAGTATTGTTCAACGATTTTAGGATAATGGATTCAATGAATTAAAATATAAGTTATTTGCTTTGGATTGTTATCAGTTATAAAACTTATGTGTCATTCTCTTAACCCTATTTTCCAAGTAATATTATTAAATTGTGATTTGTGTATTTATGTTATATTTTTTATTTTATAAATAAACAAAAATATTAGAAGAAAATTCAGGTTTCTTAGGTAATTTATATAAAATAAAATAAAATAAAATTAGTAACTATATTTTAGATTGACCTCAAATGATAATTAAAAGACTAGATTGTTCCCAAGATGCTATCTCTATATACCTTTTCATTCAGTTTGATGGCGTGGCTTGAAAATTCCCACCCCAAACATGTAAATCCATTACATATTTAGTTTGTTAGTCACTGTTGCCAATCCCCAAACTTATTTTCATAACAAAGTATTGAGTCGAATGTGTCGTACGTGGTTTCCGCATCAACTAACTTTCTTTTTTTCACTGCAAGTTAGTTGTGCGCAATGTATTTCAAGTTGATGCTACTTTAGCAATGCTTTGAATTTTTTTTTTAAAGATAGGACCAAGACTGATCTAATGAGAATTTCCATCTTTTTATTGTTGCTAGTTTATTTTGTGTTGATAAGTAACTTGTGTGATTCCTTGTAATGCACAAATTCCAGAATTTTTTTTAATATACTCGTGCAAGTGTTTGAAAACATTATTGGGATTTTGAAACGGCAAAAAGAATCAGGTTGGGCAGTAAGGCCTTCAAGCAGTGTGGAATTGGTCTTTAGCATAGTTGGTAAATCGGAATTCGAATCGCGAATCGAAATGGCCTCATACAAATCGCGAATCAAATCGAATTGAATAGTGAATTGCAAAAATTCAGTCACTTTCTCTAAATTACTTAAAAGATATAACTACACACTTGGACGTTAAATATATCTTATGAATATGAAATATTTAGACTTAAATCAATGAAAATGTTGGTTTGAATGATGATCACATAGTTTAATAGGTAAAAAATTTACAAATATTCCTATGTAAGATCACCATCTTACCTTTTATTTTTTAGATATTTCTTATCAACCATTCTTAATAAAGACAGTAAATAAAGATAAACCCTTTATTTCCAAAATAATAATAATTTAACAATAATATTGATATTTGGACAATAAGCGTACATATTTTTCTGAGTAACAACAACCAAATAATAAGAAAAAATTATTTAGGATATTTTATTTAAAGCCTGAAACATTATAAAAAGTATAACTAACCTCACCCATATAATATTCAACTAATTTAATTTAATAAAATAGTAATAGACAATTCATGGTGTAAATTACTTTAATCTTAAATATCTTTAGAAGATATATTATTATTTTTTTAAAGGAAAAAACTCATAATAAAGGTTAAAAACATGTTAGGTTAGACTGAATCTATTTAGATCCTATTAGAAACTCCATGTGCGGTAAAATAACAACAAATCATGTATTTATGTTAGTTATTTTGGTATAAAACGCTATTAAAAGTCGTATTATGTCATTTTCACTAAAAAGATGGAGAAAAAATGAGACGAAAATATGTCGGATACAATGGTTTTAAGAATTGCATTAATCGTAAAAAGTGAATTGAATCGCGAATTGATTGTGAATCGTGCAATTCACTAGAAATTCACTTCCAAAATAGATTCAGCCATAAATTCGTATCGATTTTGTAAAAATTGCGAATCAAATCATGAATTGAATCGTGAATCGTAAGATTTTGATAAGAGAGAGAGAGACATAAGGCTTGATGATAAATCCTTTTAAAATGTTTCTTAGCATTAATAAGCATTTCAATAAGAAAATATATTAATCAAAATTGAATCTGTTTGATTTGATCTAGTCATGCTTTAATATGAAATTCAAGAAACCATCATAAGGGTAAACATTTGCGAAATTCACCAAACATAATTGTGGAATTTGATCCAAGCAATGTCGTGGCGTAACGAATAACCACTCAAGACATCCATCCTCCCAGCCCCAAACCTTTGGGGAGTTCAAATATCTAAATAGATGTTGTACTGCTCGATTTGATTTGAGAATGTTTGGAAATGGCATGGGGCTGAGGAAGGAGAGGACACTGGGAAACATGTTGGGTTGCTTGTTTAGATAGGTGAATCATGTATACACTCTTTTCCTTGTTTTTTTATTTTTTATTTTATAAATTCTATCTCACTTGGTTGTGACAGAATTTTGAGTAGTTTTTATTTTCTTTCTTTGATGTGTATTGTTTTTGTGTTTGATGATGGTGATCATAGAACAAATTCCAATTTGTGCTAAAAATAAAGAGAGAGAAGATAATGGTAAGCCCATGCTGTAGTATGATTTAGACTCTTTATGATCAAATTGCTTGTTGGGATTTGAATGGTAGAAAACTGTAGGGGAAGGAATGATGTCATTTCCTTCCATTCCAACACTGGGAAAGCAAAACACTGGTGTTTTGTAGGGCCGTAAAGGAGTAACTTTTCAAGCTTGTTTTGGTTGGATTGGGCACTATATCTAAGCTTGTTTTCACTTTTCATAAAAGAGTAATCATGAAGCATGTTTCCAAAAATCTGAACTTGTGGTCTGGTTGATTGGGCATGATCAAGTTGGGACAGCGTTTGGATAGAATTTTAGGCTCTTTTTTTTGTTGATATCCTTTCTGTGTTTTTTTTTTTGGATTTTTTTTTTTGGGGGGGGGTTTTTTTGGGGGGGGGGGGGGAGGAGGGGTTTGAAACCTAAAAATTCAAGTTCCAAACAATGTTCTACATTTATTAGCTTATAAAATATAGATAAACACATTTTCTTCGTGAAAATTTTGCTATGGCAGAAAACTTAAAAACTACAACCCCTTGTTCGCGAGGCTACATTATATGCGGTGTTTAAACTGATTGATACCATATGGATGATTCATTGATATTCTTACACGTTGACTGGATCTCTCTTACAACACCTCTCTTACAGCACCATGCTCAAGCGTTGTTAAATATTTTAATTAAAATAAGCATGAACTTTGGCTGCCAAAAGTGTTATTTATACGGTGAGAATGCTATAGAGTGTAGTCTGACCTGTTTCCGATTGTGTCAGAATCATGTCTGGTAAAGCTGAAGCTGAAGGTAATGAACCAATCAATGAGCAAGCAGTTGCCAACATATATGGTGCCATGAGGTCAGACATCAACCAAATTTACTCAAAAATTACCGAACTAGAGATGGAAGCAAGTGAGCACTCATTGGTGATGAATGCGATAAAACCACTTGATCCATCAAGGCGGTGCTATCGTATGATTGGAGGCGTGTTGGTGGAGAGAACAATTAAAGAGGTCTTGCCAGCTGTTCAGCGCAATAAGGAGGGTCTTGAGGAGGTAATTGCTCGACTTAATGAGGCCTTGGAAAAGAAGAAAAAGGAAGTTGCTGACTTCGAGGCTAAATACAAAATTAGGATTAGAAAGTCTGACGAAGTGCAGGATGATGCTGGGCGGAAGGAAGGCTCTGCACAGGGAGTTCTTGTTGGTCCTGCAGGTGGGAATGAATGATTTGCTTTTAGGTTTCTCGAATTCCTGGTGTTTTCTTTGTTTTTGGAGGATGTGATCCAAGAACTTTTAAGCTTTTGTTTTGTGTACCACTACAAGAAAAGTGGGTTTATGAGACGGAACTATTTGTGACGGCACACTTGCCGTCTCAAAAAAGCAGAGTATTTGCGACGACACCATTTGTCATCTAAAAAAAGCAGAGTTTTTTGAGAGAATTTGCGATGGCACAATTTGCCGTCTCAAAAAATGAGAGTATTTGCGACGGCAGAAAATACCGTCGCAAATACTCTCATTTTTTGAGATGGCAAATAGTGTCGTCGCAAATACTCTACTTTTTTGAGACGACAAATGGTGCCGTCGCAAATACTCTGCTTTTTTTAGACGGCATTTTCTGCCATCGCAAAAAATGACTTTCGTGTTTTTTATTTTATTTTTAGTGAATATTTTTAAAATTTTAAATATTTTTTTAAGATGCACCTTACTTAGATGTATCCAAAAAATAAAAAATTTATGAAAAAATATTTTTAAAAATTAATAAATACATAAAAATACAAAAAAAAATGTATTGAATTATTGTTTTTTTTTTTGTATTTTTTGGTATTTAGTGAATTTTTAAAAGATTTTTTTTACAACTTTTTTAATTTTTAGGTGTATTTATGTTAGAGGTGTCTAAAAATTAAAAAAAATACTTAAAATATTAAAAAAATTTAGTAAAAACAATATAACACGGAAAACAAGAAAGTATAATTTTCTCAAAAGAGTTTTTGAAAAACTCTAACCTAGCATAGTGATTGTGGTTTTGAGATAGCTTCATATATATACAGTCACAAAATGGTTTGAATAAATTCAACGATATTTTTCTATCGCAAAAAAAATTAAAAAAAACAATGTTGTCTTATTTTTGATATAACATTTCTCTTTTCATTCATTTTTTCATCTCCTATCTCTCTGTCTCTATCTCTTTCTCTTCTCTTTATCTCTTTCACTCATCACTCTTCTTTCTCAGTCTGTCTGTTTCTCTCTCTCATGTTCTCTCTGTGTCTCTCGCCTATCTCTCTTCTCTCTATCTCTCTCATCTGTTTTCTCTCTCTGTCTCTTTCGCTCATCTCTCTTCTCTCTCTCTCTCTCTCTCGCCCATTTCTCTTCTCTCTCTGTCTCTCTCTTTTTCTGTGTCTCTCTCTCGCTCATCTCTTTTCGCTCTATTTCTCTCTTTTTTTGTCTATCTCTCGCTCATCTCTTGTTTCTCTCTCTTTTTCTATCTCTCCCTCTATCTCTCTCTCTTTGTCTCTTTTTCTGTCTATCTTTCTCTCCCTGTCTCTCTCTCACTCATCACTTTTCTCTCTCTCTCTCTCTCTCTCTTTCTGTCTACTTGTCTATTTATCCCTCACTATGTTCACCTTGCTCACTCTCTTACTCTTATCTTCTCTATTTATCGAGCTCTTTCTTGATTTATCGATCCATTATAAGAAATACACTTTTAGCAACCACTTTGTCTCTCTCTCTCTCTCTCTCTCGTTCATCACTCTATCTCTGTCTCTCTGTCTCTTCTTTATCTGTTTCTCACAAAATTAAAATATTTAAAATATTTAAAAAATTGATTTGAATTAAGCTTTGAAAAGAGTTTTGAATTATGTGTTTGGTTATGAGTTTCGAAAAGTAATGATTATATCTTGAATTGAGTTTTGAAAAATGGATGTAGAATTATGATTTGAAAGCTCAAAGCAAACACCACACTTAAATCAATGGGTAGAACTATGACCACAACCACTACCACTACCACTACCACTCTCTCTGTCTCTTTTTTTTTTCTATGTCTCTCTCGTTAATCTTTTTTCACTTTCTTTTGCTATCTTTTAGTTTATCTCTTGCTCATCTCTTGTTCCTCTCTCTTTTTCTGTTTATCTCTCTCTCTATCTCTTTCTCTCTGTCAGCCTGTCTGTCTGTCTGTCTGTCTGTCTCTCCCCCCACTGTGTTCGCCTTGCTCACTCTCTCCATCATCTCTTCTTTATTTATTGAGCTCCCTTTCGATTTATCGATTCACTACAAGAAAATGCACTTTTAGCGACCACTTTGTCTCTTTCTCGCTCATTACTCTGTCTCTTTCTCTCTCATTACTCTGTCTCTTTCTCTCTCTATCTCTTTTCTCTATTCGTCTCTCACTCATCTCTCTCTCTCACCACCCATCTTCTCTACCACATTTACCATTACTGCAAATGCCATTCAACTACCACCACTTTTCTCTTTCTCTCTTTCACTCATCACTCTTTTTTCTTTATATGTTTGTCTATCTGTCTGTGTGTCTTTCGTTCATCTTTCTTCTCTCTATCTCTCTAATTTGTCTTCTCTCTCTATCTCTCTCGCTCATCTCTCTCTCTCTCATCTCTTTTCTCTCTCTGTCTCTCTCGCTCATCTCTCTTTTTTCTCTCTCTGTCTCTCTCGCTCATCTATCTTCTCTCTATCTCTCCATTTTTCTATTCTCTCTCTCGTTCATCTTTTTCCGCTCTCTTTCTCTCTCTTTTTGTATCGCTCATCTCTTGTTTCTTTCTCTTTTTCTTTCTCTCTCTCTCTATCTCTTTCTCTCTTTGTCTGTTTGTCTCTCTCTCTCTGTCTCTCTCTCTCACTCATCACTCTTAATAGAAAATATTTTTTATTAAAATATTATTCTTACTTCTACCAAATAAAAAATAATAATAATAATTTTTCATTCATTAAAATAAAAATGAAACAAATAAATTCTTAACCTTAGTAACGAAAAGAAAATGAAAATTATTATTTATTTATTTTTATTATTTAAATATTCATTTGTGATGAAAATTATTATTATTATTATTTTTTTCCCAATCCCGCCCGCTCGGTTTCCCCCTTTTTTTCCATTCTCGCGCCCCCCAAAATCCCCAATCTCTTAGAACCAAAATCCCTAATTTTTACCAAATCTCTCTCTCTCTCTCTCTCTCTCTCTCGCGACTGTGAATGAAGGAATCCAGACATCGACGACCATTGTCGGAGTCCTTAGCTTCTCTATCAATAGCCATTACTAGCAAACGAAGTTCTTCGGAGTCCTTAGCTTCTCTCTCCGGCCGTGACCTGCAAACTAAGCAAATAGAGCTCTCACCTCTCCCTTTGACCGGAGCTCTTGCACCTTTCCTTCCCACCACCCACCCTTTTTTGTAGTTATAGTTTGGTTGATCTCTTACGCTATGTTTGGATTGAGTGATTTGGAGAGAAAAGAAAAGAAATGGAGTGATATATATTTCTCTTATTTGTTTGGATAATCTAAGTAGAGAGAAATGGAAAGAAATTGAGAGAAACTCATTTTTCTTTTGAGCCTCATTTTCAATCTTCTCATAAGTAGAGAGATTGAGAGAGAAAAGAAACCACTATTTTTATAATATAAATTTTGTCGCTATAAAAATAAAAGAAATAAAATGATTGAAAATATAAAAAGGTTATTTTGGTAATATAACATAAAATAATTTCTTTTCTTTTCTCTTAATGAAACCTAACCAAACAAGAATGAGAGAAATCACAATCATTTCTTTTCTTTTATTTCTTCCTTATCCAAACAAAAAGGAGAGAAATCACAATCATTTCTTTTCTTTTCTTTTCTCTTCTTACTTAAGTAATAATTTCTTTTCTTTCCTCTCCTAAGTTCCCAAACATAGTGCTAGGTTCTAGCTCTGTCTGTGTTGCTTGTCTGTAATGGCAGTGTGAGACATTGATGTTACTTCCAACATTTCAATCTCTCTCGTTGGAGACTTCGACCTGGTTCGGCGACGACAACAATCCATGGTACAATCTCATCTTTTCTCTTCTCTTCTCTCCTCTTATTTTTGCATTTCGTTGCTTTTAAAGACCCATGTACTGTTCAATGCATCCACAGTGAATTTTAAAGAAAGAAAGGAAGACACAGAGAGTGTGTTTGGATTATGGATTCTGGGTCCCTGTTCTTTCAATTATCCAACGTTTGTTTGCTTTTCATGCACACTGAATGTACATTGAGCTTACCTTTTGGTCATTATTCAACTAGGGAATTCTCTGAAATGAGGCTCAGCTATCCTTTCGGGGCTCTCTGTTTATTGGTTTTGACATGCTCTTTAATTGCTAAAATAATTACCTATTAAATCAATTTATTTATTTATTTATTTTTATTTTTGTGTGTGCAGATTGCGTGCTTATTCCATCCTAAGTACAAGCACTTCAAGTCCAAATCATATCACAAAATTGGTACATTTCTTATTCTATTTTCTTTGATTTTTATAATGTTGATAAATGCTTGGCCTGGACATTATTAAGTCCCAACTCAAATTGTTTAACATAAGAAAAGCATGTGACATTTAGAGATTATTATCATATTTAGGCTGAAATAGCTTTTGTTGATTTGTGATTCAGGAAAATCTATTGTAATACATTATGGATCTTGATCAGTTTCTGGCTTCCTTAGTCAAGATAATGTGAAAGTCGGCAGTCTTGTGGTCAAAGATCAAGTGAGTTCCTGTTTTGTTTTGAGTTCTAATGTGGAATTGGTTTTCCACTCTCTGCCTTATGTGCAAACCTCCCGTATTATGTTCCTTTCAATACATGGTTGCTTCAAAATGAGTAAAGTGCTTCATGTTGACAACCAGTGCAGTAAACAGAGCTCCACGGTTGTATGGATAAAAAACGCCAACAAGAGCAAGTACAAAGATAAAAGTTGTACTGGGAAAAAAATGCAAAGTTAAGACTACCAAAGTGCTCATAACTGTAAGAAAAACATAAATAAATAGGAGGAATATATATTGTTTTTGAGCAAGTAAAAAACTCTAATGTTTTTTGTTGCAGGTTTGCCAATCTGGTCCATTTTGTGAGGGAGTTTTATTGTTGTGGGTTGAGTGATTTAGCCTCATATATTGTTTTTGAGTGCTGTGTGTTGTATCTTGAGGGTTGAGTGATTGAGGACTATATCTGGTTCGTCTTGTCTTCCCAATCCTCTACTCTCTGAATCTGTTCAACCTCTCCATCTTCTAAATTATGTGGAGGTTGAACAGGAATCTGTTAGTATGTGTGATCATCTAAAATCTTGGGTGATTCTTTTGCAGGATCTTGCTGTGTGTGTTTTTAGTATTGCTGTTGCTCTTTTTTCTGCTGGTGTGGTACTGCTGTGCTTGATCTGGTTCATGCTGTGGATCTCTGGATTTGTTGTTTGCCATCACTCTGTTTGTGGTCTCTGCTGTGGCTGGATTCCTTACTGCATGGTCTGCTGTTGCTGTTTTCCATGCAGCAGTGATGTCTGCTGTTGCTGTTTCTGTTTGCTTCGGTGATGCCTACTGGTCTGGTTTTTTTTTTTTTTTCTGGTCTTCTGGGGCTGTCTTGATCCCAGTTTCTGTGCTGGCTGGTTTAAGTCCTTGCTTGAAGGGTGTGGCTGAGCTGCTGGTTTGGTGCTTCAGTTGGGGTTTGGTTTGCGGGGGCTTGTCCCTGCTGCCTCTATTTTTTGTTTGTTGTTTTGTTTCTTTTTCTCTGTTTGCTATGTTTAGCTTGTTCGTTTTTGGGATCATTTCTGTCTGGGCTCTTGTGTAGTTTTTTTTTTTTTATATCATAGAAACAGAATGGGGAAAGTCAAGCAATTGTAGTCTCAAATCCGTCTGCGACCAATCAGAAGTTGGATCTTGATACTTCTTTATTGGTTCCTTTCAAATCTGACCTTGATAGTTCATTTAACACATTGGTAGGAAATCAATGAATCAAGAGCAATTTCAGATGCATTTATCTTTGAAGCAGTTTACATATATGAATGAATCATTCATTAATTTCTGTTGTTTCTTGCTTTAATAGGAAAAGTATAAGGAACAACTGATGGTTATCTCAGAATACGTGAGCAGAATTGAGGTAGCTAAGAATTTACATTATTATCTTTTCAATTCCACTAGATTATGTTTCAAATGCTTCATATGATAGTGCAAGTTCTGAATGATTTATTTCATGTTGTGCACTTTCCGTCATTGATCTTCTACTCCCCTAACTGCTAATTATATCCGGATTGCGAATCATATATCATTCATGTTCAATTTTACAATTAAGCAAATTTGCAAAATCCTTTCAGATTCTGTGTTGGGGTGAATTTACCTGAAAATATAATCTGTGTGATTGATCCATATGAGTCACAGGCTTAATGATGCGTCTCATTTTATTGTTCATGTTATTTCTTTTTTTAGGTTGATCTGCTCATATCATTCATGTTCAATTTTACAATTAAGCAAATTTACAAAATCCTTTCAGATTCTGTGTTGGGTGAATTTACCTGAAAATATAATCTGTGTGATTGATCCATACGAGTCACAGGCTTAATGATGCGTCTCATTTTATTTGTTCATGTTATTTCTTTTTTAGGTTGATCTGCTCAGAGGTCAGAAAATCAGATAAAGTTGATGTCACATTACAACCAGAAGAGTTGAAAATAATGAACAATGTCTTGCATGCAAAGTAAGTCTGAGTCCTCATAGCTTGTTTAGTGTCAGTATCAGTATCAGTACATTAGCTACAAGGCGCTTAATTCATATTTATTTTGCATTTCACAGGTATGAGGAAGCAAGGAGGAGGAGAAGCTGCGTAGTTAGCGGGAGGATTTCAGTGACATGGTTGCCGAGGTGTGCATCTCTCACAATCTTTCTGATTTTGTACTTGTTTTAATTAGTATTTATGGACACTTTTGTTCTGATGAGGTGGAATTTTTCAGAATGAGAAGAAGAGGAAACGGAAAATGCAGGAAAAGGATGGAAAATCGAAGAAAAAAGATTTCAAGTTCTAGGACGTGCTGCTGGTTTGTGATCGGATGTTAGAATGCCAGATCCATTATGCTTTTCTTAGGCACCTCTAAATTTTTATCATTCGGAATCATAATTGTTATGTGTCCATTGCCAAAAATGTAGTCCCATTCCATGGCACCAAACACAGCCTTGGTGTTATGGGTTTGGTTAATGAGAAATTTGTTGGTGATTTTATATGCTGCTACTTTCTATTTCCCCATTGCTTAGGATGGAAAATATGTTGTATATCAAAGTTGTTTGATGGATTTCATGTTCCTGGTGTGAATGCATGCTTTTCTTCGAGGCCAGATAACCTGAATCATAGTTGAGACCAACAATTCTGAATGAAAATAATTTTTAGAAATGCCGGAAAACAATTGTATACACAGCTCATAATTTTTAGAAATGCAGGAAAACAATTCTGAATGAAAATAATTTTTTTAGTTATTTTTCATTTAATACAGGTCATTTTCATATTTTTAATAATTTTATTACAGTTTTTTTTTTTTGAGACGGCAGCACACACACCGTCTCAAAAAGAAAAATAGAACCAGAGTTTTTTGTGACGGCAGTAATGTTGTCGCAAAAGATAGGACATTTGGTTGAAAATGAAGTTTTTTAGCGACGGTGTCATTTGCCATCGCCAATAGTACTTTAGCGACGGCATCAAGTGCTGTCTCAAATAACCCTTTAGCGACGGTATTTGTGCCGTCGCAAATAATCCTTGTAGCGACGGCAACACAGTGCCGTCTCAAAAAAACTCAGATTTTCATGCGTTAATGGCGATAGTATTTTTCGTTGCAAAAAGGCATTTTAACCGTCGCCTTTTTTTTTTGTGACGGCGTTATACCGTCGCTAAAATCCTTTTGCAACCTCCTTTGTTGCGATCCCCCACTTGCCGTCGCAAAAAACCTTTTGAGACGGCATTTTGAGTATTTGCGACGGCATTTTACCATCGCAAAAAAGTAATTTTTTTGTAGTGTACCATGATTTTGAGACTCGGGTGTTTGGTTGGATCCTTTAAATCAAATGCGGCAGATTATTACAACGTTTACATTTCTTTGAATCCTTATTTAAGAAAATATTTGTTGATTGGACAAAAGAAAAAATTATACAATTGCCACACAAACAAGCTATAAATTGCCCTTGGTGGGAGTTTCAAATTAATTGCAATTGATGGGGCATGTACCAGGCATCCCTATGCCTGTGTGTCAATCTATTCTTCATTCATTCAGGAGTAACTAAATAATTATAAGTAATGTTAGGGATATTAAATTTTTTATTAAATAAATGATCAAATATTTCATATGGGTATGGAGTCTGTAATTTTGTGGATCTCACATTCATGTGAGATATTTAGTCATTTATTTAGTTGAAAATTTGAGCTTTATAATATTTTTCAATAATTATAGATTGAGATGTAGTATCGCCTGCCTGGGATCTCTTCTTTTCCTAGGACATTTTGGTTTGAACAAATTGATAAAATTGCTTCCAATTAAAAGTACTAAATAATTACATAAAAACGCTTATTATATAAGTAATTTTATTATTTTTGTATAGTGCAGAAAAAATAGTCTTTCCTATTGTATTTTTTTTGGGTAAGTCTTTTGTATTGTTAATCACATCAGATTGAATAGTATTCACATTCCGTGGGAATGCTAATTTTACCACATGTGAGATTTGTAGTGCTCTCATTTTTGTTAACTAAACATAATTTATGTAAAGCTTACTAATCCAATTCCATCACTTATGAAACTAATTAAACATGGTCAAAGAATTGAGCCAAAAGATTATGGAAATTCAAGCTTATAATTAGGACTGTATAATATCTTTAAAATCGCATCGAATCGCTCCGAACCGTGCAAAATTTCAACCTTGACAGGCGGGTTGGGCGGGTTGGAGGACCAGAAGAGGCGGGTCGACGCGGGTGACGGGGTGGAACTGCCCAACCCGCAGGTCTAACCGATCAGACCCGCCAAAGTTTCAAAAAAAAAAAAAAAATCCCCTGTTATGCACCCACAGACCAACTACAGATTATATCAACCATACATATACTCACACACACGCAGTAATTTCTCAATTAAACCTAATTGACACCCACCCACACATTCCAATTTCATCTCATTCACACACACACAGAGACGACGCCGCTGCTATGTACAACCTTTCATCGATTCACACACAGATTCATCGCCGATCGGCTCACTCTCCTCACCGCCGTTAGCCTCTCCTCACCGCCGCTGATCTGTTAGCTTCTCCTCTCCTCACCGCCGCTCGCTGCTGTGCCGATCTAGCCTCTCCTTCCCTTGCCGATCTCATCTCCTCTTCTCACTGCCGCTGCTGTGCCGATCTACCACTGTTAGTCTCTCTCTCTCTCTCTCTCTCTCGTTAATCTTTTCTCTCGATGCTCTCTCTTTCTCTCTTTTGTTTTGCTACCACTTTTAGTTCTGTATACATTATATTGTTTTGTTATACATATATATATATATATACATATATATAATATATTCTGCTCTATTAACTATATATAATATCATGTTTGGGTGAATTTGTTTTTAAATTAGTAAAAGTGTTTTTATTTTTAAATAAATTCTTCAAAAAATTTTAAAAAATGAATAAATCAATATAAATAGGAGTAATACATGGATTATTATAAGAATAAATTAATATAAATAGGAGTTGGTGATTCGTTGATTTGCAAAGTATTCACTATAATTTATCAGAACTTGACTTTAACCTAATTAATAAAAACTTAAAAATTCTGATGGTCTAATTATAACACACTAAAATCAATTGTAGGTTCTGAATATAATACACTAAAGCTGTCAATATTTTGGATTGAACTTGTAAGACTTGGCAACAACTTCACAGATTGTTGTTCTACTTTTAACATCTTGAATTATTAAAGTGATATACATCATGTGCCATTATTTTGAAACCTAAAAATCATGTATTAGAAACTCCATTAGAAACTCCATGTGCAGTAAAATAACAACAAATCATGTATTTATGTTAGTTATTTTGGTATAACACGCTATTAGAAATCGTATTATGTCATTTTTACTAAAAAAATGGAGACAAAATGAGACGAAAATATGTCGAGACGAAAATATGTCGGATACAATGGTTTTAAAAATTGTATTAATTGTAAAAAGTGAATCGAATTGCGAATTGATTGTGAATCGTGCAATTCACTAGAAATTTACTTCCAAAATAGATTCATCCATAAAGTCGTATCGATTTTGCAAAAATTGCGAATCGAATCGTGAATCGTAAGATTTTGATAACAGAGAGAGGCATAAGGTTTGATGATAAATCCTTTTAAAACGTTTCTTAGCATTAATAATCATTTCAATAAGAAAATATATTAATCAAAATTGAATTTGTTTGATTTGATCTAGCCATGCTTTAATATGAAATTCAAGAAACCAACATAAGGGTAAATATTTGTGAAATTCACCAAACTTAATTGTGGAATTTGATCCAAGCAATGTTGTGGTGTAACGAATAACCACTCAAGACATCCATCCTCCTGGCCCCCAACCTTGAGGGATTTCAAATATCTAAATAGATGTTGTACTGTTCGATTTGATTTGAGAATGTTTGGAAATGGCATGGGGCTGAGGGAGGGGAGGACACTGGGAAACATGTTGGGTTGCTTGTTTAGATAGGTGAATCATGTATTCACTCGTTTCCTTGTTTTTTAATTTTTTAGTTTATAAATTCTATCTCACTTGGTTGTGTCAGAATTTTGAGTAGTTTTTATTTTCTTTCTTTGATCTGTATTGTTTTTGTGGTTGATGATGGTGATCATAGAACAAATTCCAATTTGTGCTAAAAATTAAGAGAGAGAAGATAATGGTAAGCCCATGCTGTGGTATGATTTAGACTCTCTATGATCAAATTGCTTGTTGGGATTTGAATGGTAGAAAACTGTAGGGGAAGGAATGATGTCATTTCCTTCCATTCCAACACTGGGAAAGCAAAATACTGGTGTTTTGTAGGACAGTAAAGGAGTAACTTTTCAAGCTTGTTTTGTTTGGATTGGGCACTATATCTAAGCTTGTTTTCGCTTTTCATAAGAGAGTTAAATCATGAGGCATGTTTCCAAAAATCTGAACTTGTGGTCTGGTTGATTGGGCATGATGAAGTTGGGACAAGATTTGGATAGAATTTTAGGCTCTTTTTTTTGTTGATATACTTTCTGTGTTTTTTTTTTTGGGGTTGGTCTGGTTGATTGGGCATGATCAAGTTGGGACAAGGTTTGGATAGAATTTTAGGCTCTTTTTTTTGTTGATATACTTTCTGTGTTTTTTTTTTTGGGGTTGGTCTGGTTGATTGTTTTTTTGGGGTGGGGGGGTTTTGAAACCTAAAAATTCAGGTTCCAAACAATGTTCTACATTTATTAGCTTATAAAATATAGATAACACATTTTCTTAGTGAAAATTTTGCTATGGCAGAAAACTTAGGTTGCATTTAGTTGTGTTTTGTAATTATGATTTGAGAGTATGAGTTGTATTTTGAGTTTGTGGGGTTTGGAATTATGATTTGAGTGTAGAAAATTTGTTTGGTAAAGAGTTTTGAAAATAGTTTTGAAAAGAGTTTGATTTGTGTGGAGAATTGTTGATGTGACATTTGATATTTGATACAAAAATTTACAACTCATAACTAAACATACAACTCAAAATTATTTTAAAGCACATAAAAAATTTTAAAAATTTCAAAAAATGTTTTTTTCGAATATATAAAAATTAACATATCAATTGTTAAAAAAAAAAAATTACTGTTCCGGTCAACCGGCCAGACGACCGGCCGGATGTCCCGTTAGGACAAATTTTGAAAAAAAAAATTGAAAATCGCGCTCGGTTTTGACAAAATACACAGAGCTTTTCGCGGAGTTGTGGAAAATTAATTCCACAACTCCATCCAAACATCATACTCAAACTACCACATTGAAAACTAGTTTGAAAACACAAACAAACAGAGCCTTAAAAACTACAACCCCTTGTTAGCAAGGCTACATTATATGCGGTGTTTAAACTGATTGATTCCATATGGATGATTCATTGATATTCTTACACGTTGACTGGATCTCTCTTACAACACTATGCTCAAGCTTTGTTAAATATTTTAATTAAAATAAGCATGAACTTTGGCTGCCAAAAGTGTTATTTATATGATGAGAATGCTATAGAGGGTAGTCTGACTTGTTTCCGATTGTGTCAGAATCATGTCTGGTAAAGCTGAAGCTGAAGTTAATGAACCAATCAATGAGCAAGCAGTTGCCAACATATATGGTGCCATGAGGTCAGACATCAACCAAATTTACTCAAAAATTACCGAACTAGAGATGGAAGCAAGTGAGCACTCATTGGTGATGAATGCGATAAAACCACTTGATCCATCAAGGCGGTGCTATCGTATGATTGGAGGCGTGTTGGTGGAGAGAACAATTAAAGAGGTCTTGCCAGCTGTTCAGCGCAATAAGGAGGGTCTTGAGGAGGTAATTGCTCGACTTAACGAGGCCTTGGAAAAGAAGAAAAAGGAAGTTGCTGACTTTGAGGCTAAATACAAAATTAGGATTAGAAAGTCTGACGAAGTGCAGGATGATGCTGGGCGGAAGGAAGGCTCTGCACAGGGAGTTCTTGTTGGTCCTGCAGGTGGGAATGAATGATTTGCTTTTAGGTTTCTCGAATTCCTGGTGCTTTTCTTTGTTTTTGGAGGATGTTATCCAAGAACTTTTAAGCTTTTGTTATGTGTACCATAATTTTGAGACTCGGGTGTTTGGTTGGGTCCTTTAAATCAAATGCAGCAGATTATTACAACGTTTACATTTCTTTGAATCCTTATTTAAGAAAATATTTGTTGATTGGACAAAAGAAAAAATTATACAATTGCTACACAAACAAGCTATAAATTGCACTTGGTGGGAGTTTCAAATTAATTGCAATTGATGGGGCATGTACCAGGCATCCTTATGCCTGTGTGTCAATCTATTCTTCATTCATTCAGGAGTAACTAAATAATTATGAGTCATGTTAGGGATACTAAATTTTTTATTAAATAAATGATCAAATGTTTCATATGGGTATAGAGTCTGTAATTTTATGAATCTCACATTCATGTGAGATATTTAGTCATTTATTTAGTAAAAAATTTGAGCCTTATAATATTTTTCAATAATTATAGATTGAGATTTGCCTAGGATCTCTTCTTTTTCTAGGACATTTTGGTTTGAAAAAATTGATAAAATTGCTTCCAATTAAAAGTACCAAATAATTACATGAAAATGCTTATTATATAAGTAATTTTATTATTTTTGTATAGTGCAGAAAAAATAGTCTTTCCTATTGTATTTTTTTTGTTTGGGTACAAGTCTTTTGTATTGTTAATCACATCAGATTGAATAGTATTCACATTCCATGGGAATGCTAATTTCACCACATGTGAGATTTGTAGTCCTGTCATTTTTGTTAACTAAACATAAACATAATTTATGTGAAGCTTACTAATCCAATTCCATCACTCATGAAACTAATCAAACATGGTCAAAGAATTGAGCCAAAAGATTATGGAAATTCAAGCTTATAATATTGCACAACCCAACAAATTCACAATTTCTCATACACAGCCTGCCGACGTGTCCTATTTTGAGCATCAGGAGCACCGTACTCTCTGTGGTGTCTCTCAGTGTACCAAAACCTAACCCCAACCCTCATCCGAAGAAATCCTGAAGCCCTTTGCCGGCAAAAACTCGGTCGGAGAGCTCAGCCAGAACGGCATTAACAGTGAGCAAAACGACGCTGGAGCCAGCGATGACTCCGAGCACCACCCCAGTGGTCCCCACCACCTTTCCGAAAGCAGGCCACTCGATCTCCCTTATCTCCTCCGCCACTCCGCTCCACAAATCCCCTCCGCCGTCGCCGTCTCTCTCCTTCATCGCCTTCTTGATCTCCGAACCCAAATCCGACAGATCGCTGGTTGAGCTGTTGGTGGGCTGTGGTTGTTGCTCATTGGGAGTGCTCTGTTGGGTACTAACAATTTGGGGCTCAGAGACGTTGTTGTTGTTGTTTTCTTCATCACTGGTGGTGGCTTTGATGGTGAATTGGGTGATGTTTCTTTTTGTGGTTCTTGTGATTGTCATGGGTTTGTGTGTAAGTTTGATTTGTGGGTAAGAAGAGGTCTTTGGTAATATGGGGAATTGCAATGAGAGCTGAAGTGCCATTTTTGTGTGCTCTTGGAGGGAGGAATGAAAGGGTTGTGTTGTGTGTGGTTTTTGGTTGGATAACTAATGCCTAATTGGGGACGAGTAATGGTGTAGGGATTGTCCTCGAATTTTTTATTTTTAATAATTTACAAAATGTTAAAATTCAAAGAATAAAAAAAAAATAATAATTTAATTCTCTATTTTCAAATCAGTCCATACTTTGCTCAAAACCTTTTCACATTTGTTGAATTATATCCGCGGTTGGAGTATCAGGCGTGACTGTAACAAATCCGGATATTTGGAGTTATGAAGCCAGGGCACATATTGATTTTTTTGACTTGCGCTTTTTGGCAGTTATCGATAATGGAAAAATTACAAATCAGATGATGTTTTTAAAAATAATTACATGTTTATTAAAAAAGGTTTATAATTTTAATAATTGAAATTTATAAATTTTATCATGAATTGAAAAAATAAAAAATTTATGACCATACACTGAATGGTTATTACTAGGGGTGCAACTCGGGCGGGCTCAACCCGAGTATATATAAATTAAGTAAAAGAGTTAGTCTTAATTTTTATTTATTTATTTTTTTTTTTTGTTAGTCTTCTATTAAGTAAAAGAGTTAGTCTTAATTTTTATTTATTTATTTTTTTTTTTTGTTAGTCTTCTATTAAGTAAAAGAGTTAGTCTTAATTTTTATTTATTTATTTTTTTTTTTTGTTAGTCTTCTATTAAGTAAAAGAGTTAGTCTTAATTTTTATTTATTTATTTTTTTTTTTGGTTAGTCTTCTATTAAGTAAAAGAGTTAGTCTTAATTTTTATTTTTTATTTTTTTTTGGTTAGTTTTCTACCATTAGATTAGCATCTTTTATGTCTACCCTTAGATCTACCTACAGGTTTCTGAACTCGGGCAATTCGGGCAATTCGGGCAACCCGAGTTCAAAATACAAAGCTTGGGCCGGGCTTGGGCAACAATGTTCGGGTTCATGGTCGGGCTTGGGCGGGCTTGGGCAGTGCCAAATACAATTCGGGTCGGGCTTGGGCAGACCCCCAACCCGACCGAACCCGCCCGAGTTGCACCCCTAGTTATTACCCCTCTTATAATTAGTATTTTTTAAGATTTTTACTTGACTATCATGTTTGAGAATAATCCAAACAATTATTTTCCTAAAATTATTCATGTATATCATTTTTGTAAAAAATTAGATCTATTCAATAATTGTAATTGTTTCAATTTATTGCGTTTATCTTTGAAAAATTGGACAATAAGTGTCATTTGAAAATAGACTATTTTATTTTTAAAGACAAATACGATAAAATAAAAATATTACAATTATTGAATTAACTTAATTTTTTTAATAAATGATATATACAGATGGTCTCAGAAAATGTACAGTCCTTATCATCGAAAATAAGCCGGTGATGAATTTCACAAACCAAACTATAACGGCCAAGTTCAAATTTAAATTTGAAATAAATTAGACTTTTTTTAAAAATTTGATGTTTATGTATTGGGGCAGACAGAAAACTGTATTATTTATTTATTTTTTTATTTTTGTGTAGATGACTAAATAGTTCGAGACAAACCATGCCACTTATCTTAGGATTATTTTAGGAAAATGATTAAAAGTTGGTTTTTTTAATTTTTTTGGATTTTTTTTTAAAAAATGTGTAAAAAATGTGAAAGATGATATTACCTAAAGTTGGTTAAAAGCTGACTTTTAGTTTTTTTAACTCTTTCCAAAAGAACCCTAAGTAGTTTTTCATAATTTAATTATATTTAACACGAAGGATGATATAGTTTAGTGGGTAGAGTTTATTTCCAAAAAATTTTATCATTAGGTGCCCAGTTCAATTTATGTACTTCTCGATTAATCTTGGAATCCATGCAAAACGTCCTCTATATAGATCGAACATATCTTGAACAGAACTTACAAGTGTAACCCAAGAAGTGGATTGCTTTCAATGGGAATTTATTTCCCCTTTGATGCGCAACTAGCTTTGGATTCAAGTTTTCATGAGGGTGAAATGTTTCCTATCCATCTCCGTTTTTAACTTCTGTATGCTAAGATTCTATAGTTAAATCAAGTAGTCTTACAGGAGTGCCAAGTCCGTCCAACAGTTTAGCTCTCGAAGAAAAATAGGCCACAGACAATTGGTCAACTAACATTGGATTTAGAACCCCACATCACAACAAATGGAGGCTAATATTTAATAATGGAGACTACTTATAAGAAGTAGGTATAGTGTCAACCTAACCTAAACCAACTGACGCTAATAAATTATCATCAAACATAAATAATATTCAGAGGAATTTCATTCATTTGTTGTGTTTGTTAATATCTTTCGATCCACTTTGTTTTGTCCAAACTGTCCTATAAAATAAAAGGTAAGTCATAAATATATCTCTTGAAATTTGTTTAAAATACGAATTATTTTTTATGGTTTGAAAAATTATAAATAACCCATTGTCATAATTTTTTATTTAACAGAATTAATTAAAAAAGTGAAATTTATAATTGCTCACCTATGTAATAATAAAATTATTTGAATCATTAATTGAAATAAAATTTTAACATTATTAAAAATTGTTAATTAACTTGATGATTTATTAATAAAATGACCTATTTATTATGAAATTAGAAAACTTAAGAGGCATAATGTAATTTTTAAAACTACAAAGGATAATTTGTAATTTAAATAAATCTCAAGAGATATATTTATAATTTATCTTAAAATAAACTAGGGCAAACCCACCACCTGTTAGTTCTCGAGCATATCATAATTTTAAGTATTAGTCACTAATGCGTATTGGTTTTTATCGTTTCAATACCAATATAACTTAATATAGCAATTAGAATGAAAATTACGTTATAAGTTAAATCCTGATATGATCGATTCATAATCAACACAACACAATTGATTCTGTTATTATAAAATTTTGAGATTGTTATTTATAAAATTTCGTAATTGCAGTACCAAAAAATAAATAATAGCTCGTTTGAGATGTGGATTGATTTTTTGACTTTTTAATTTTTTGACTATTTTAGTTTGGGATTAAAAAATCTTGTTTGGAATACACTTTTTGATTTTTTTGACTTTTGTAAGAAAAAAATAAAATAATTATAAATTAGATGTGATATTTTATCATATTTAACTAAAATAATCTATTTTAACTTCTTTAACTATTTTAACCTCAAGAAAGTAGCCAAACAAACCCTAAATAAATGAAAACACACCTATTTACATTTGCAAACACAATCACAAAAAATGAGTGCGTGGACCCCTTCATGGACCATTTGAACTTCAACACACTTGTATGTACCACTACCCCTTCATGGGACAACATATAGGCTTAGGTCCCCTTGTGTGATGAGTACATGTGCGAAGCTACCAAACATGTTAGCACGCAAAAGTTGTCTGGAATACAAGACAAAAATTAAGAATCAATTAACAACACAACATTGAGACATTAGCATTTCCCAAGAAGATTCAACAACAAAAATAATAAAATAAAATGAAACAAAATACTAGAACTACATTATACACCTAACATAATACGTTAGATTAAATTACAACCGTCGAGGCATATTAACATCCCACGCTTTCCTTTGTTTTGTAATTTCAAAACATTTTACTTTCGTCTTCATAGATTATAACATTTTTCTCACCAAAGACAAAGCACACAAACACTTCCCAAGAAAACAAAAAAGAAAGTGAAAGAAAATTTACAACTACCGCCGCGAGAGGGTAGGTCTTTGGCGGCTTTTGGGTTTCCGGTGGTGGTCCGTCGACGACATAATCGAAATGAGAAGATCGGAGAAAGCTGCGACGATGAACTTGTGGGTGTGTTTAGGGTTTAGTGAGATGTAACACAAGAGAAGTTCATGGAGGTAGTCCCAATTGGCCTCTACATCCATTAACTGATGAGCTTGAACCATCTCCTGCATTGATCTCCGGAAATCGGAATATGGGTCCGGCGAGTAGGCCTGAACGGCTACACCTCCGGCGACCACCGTGACGGACTCTCGGGGTGGGTCCGGTGAGTGAATGATGGAGTTGGAGGTGCCGGGGGAGGAGAAGAAGAAGCGTTGGGAGGCGAAGATGGTGGCGAGGTCGGGAGGAGGAGAGTCGGTGTCGGAGTCGGAGGCGGAAGAGAAGAGGGAGGAGGAGGTGGTGGTGGTGGAGTTGTCTGATGAGGTGGTGGTGGGGTCATAGAGAGAATTGAAGTTCTTGATTAGGGTTGATGTGGGTGATGGTGGTGGTGATGGATGGTTGTGATTTTGTTGTGAGGAGAGTGAAGGTGGTGGTGGTAGGGTTGTGGAGAGGCATTTGAATTTTGAGAAGCAGAGGTAGAAGTGTTTCCAAAAGATGTTGGACATTTTCAATTGCAGAGAGAGAGAGAGAGAGTGTGTGTGTTGTGTGTGTATGGGATGACTATTATATATATCTCTGTATGTAGAGCATCTTTTGATTTTTTTTTTTCATTCGTATTACATGTATTAATTTGTATTAATTAATGTATTAACATTAATTATGATATTATTATTGACCTCACTTATTATACAAGTTATAAATACAAAAAATTTCTTAAATTATATCACATAATCAATTGGTATACACTGATTAATACATATAATATTATTCTTTTTGTTTTTATTTTATTATTTTTATTTTTATATGAGGTCTCCCTGCTAGTTTGTGTCCATTAGATTATGTTCTATATTCTCAACAAATACACGAGTCCATAAATATTTAGCAATATAAATTCATTATCTTTGTGTTTAATAAAAAATTAGTTTATACATAATATTCCTCTAATAAAACTCTTTTAGAAGGAAAAATTATTTAATATTTCTCAAGTACATGTGTCTATATTTTTTAATTAATTATTATTAAATATATTTTTTTATATTTTCTAATCATCCAACATAATATCCCAATATTACTAAATAATTACCCTTTTGGCAGTCACCCTACGGACTCAATCAATGACTACGAACTTCAACTTCTACTATCAGGATTCAGGATCATTGTGTAAAGAATATCAAAAGGGAAAAAAATGAGTGGTGTAACAAAAAAAAAAAAATTATAAATTAATATTAATATTGATATATTTTAATAATTAAAATATTATATTTTTTTCATTTAATTTGCAAAAAAACTTTTTTCTGTTACTAGTAATTCTCCTAATATCAAGGGGTTGTTTGGAATGACTTAAATAAGTAAGTGTATTTTTTGTCTTTTTACGAAAAGATGTGTAGAAAAGTAGAGAGGTGATGTGATGAAAAAAAGATAAAAAGATGAATTATTTGAGATATGCCAAACTTAGCCCAAATTATCCTGAGCTACTAGTTAAAAAAAAAAAGAAAAAAAATAATAATATCCTGAGCCATTTTTCTTCTATTTTTTCCGGACCTGTTCCATGTCAAATCAATCAAAGAATAATCACAATTTACAACTTTCAAAATTTCCAAATTAACCTGGGTTTGATTTTTATGTTAAATAAGCACGTAAGAACAAAAGAAAAAAGTCATAAATTTACAAAATAATAAAATACTTGATTTAAGATATAAAATTATCAAATTAACTCATATATAAATAAAAAGTCAAAAAAATATCATTTCTAAGTTGAGGGTAATTTTGTCATTCCAATATAAAAAAGCTAAAAAAGTCAAACAAAAAAATTTCACATCGTTTGTCAATATCACTTTTTAATTTAAAAATTAAAAAGTTAATAATTTATATTAAAAAGTTAAAAAAAAATTTCTCTTTATTTTTTTACACATTTTTTTATAAAAATTTAAAAAGTTATTACAAACATACTAGTTTTTTCATATCATATTTTAGTAAAAAATCAAAAAATTACTTAAAAAATTTATTCTCAAAACGAGACCTGCACCCCCAGTAGGCAAAAATAATTTTTTTTTTCTTTTCCTTCCAATCACCCAATGCCACGTGGCACTGGGGTCACTGGGGTCGGTTTTACTGCGGGTCCGCATTTTTCAATTCAAATTACAAGATAATAATTTTAAATAATTAAATCTGAATTTATAATATTATTATAATTTAAAATATATAAAATAAAATAAAAAAAACTCTGTCCACGCTACGCTAGTTATTTCATTTCAAATGGTGTTATCTTATCAATAGCAAGATCAAAGTACACAACAACCACAAGAAAGCCCTTTTACTTTTGGGACGCCATAGAAAGGACATGTACTCTCAAACTGTGAGTCTGTGACCCACGTTATTAAACTTAGCCAAGTGACCAAAACATCTTCTGTTTAATACTCTCTCTCTCTTTCATGTACAAAGCCATGCTTGACACACTATCTGTAACCGTAGTAGAGAACACCAGTGCCTTCTACCGCAGAGAGAGATTGTCCTTGTTAAACACAAAAGTGGCTCACAAGCCCAGTGTCCTTCCTCTCCCAAAGGACTTCAAAACAGGTGTGACTCCCCTGGTGACTATGGCTTCTTTTGAAAAGATAGTGAAAAAAAGTGATTTTTTAATTTTTAATTTATTTTGTATCATGTTATTTGTTTATTATTTTACATATTTTCTTTTAAAAAAATTTAAAAATAAACTTTTGACCAACTTTTCAAAATAATCTTATATGCTATTTCATATTTTGTTTTCAAACATTTAGGGTTAAGAAGGGTTTAGGTCTCCTTCTCCTTCCTCAAGCTCTCTTGTTGTTTATCAACCATGGAAGTATAATTGTTGCGGTATCATGTGCAGGGGGACCCACTACTTTTTTCTTTTTGTTTTCTTTTTGCACTCAATAATTTTTAATCAATAATGTTATGATAATTATATTATCTTATTATGTTTTACATACCATCTCTTATACTATCATTATTGGAATATGATTAAACACATAACTCAAGATAGTTTGAGACGGAAAGTGACACTACAATAAAAATACATTTTAGTGACACTATACTAGTAATATATTCTTAAAAAAATGTCACAAAAAGAATATTTTGTGACATATTTTAGAAAAAAAATGTCACAAAGCCACAAATATACAAGGCTCTAGTGACATTTCAATTAAAAAAAGTGCCACTTAACTACGGCAAAAATGTCACTACAACAAAAACACACTTTAGCGGCGCAACATTAGTGGCATGTTTTTAGAAAATGCCACAAAAATAAAATTTGGTGACATGTTTTAGAAAAATGCCACAAAATCATAGACATATAAGGCTCTAGTGACATTTCAATAAAAAAATGTCACAACAATTTTATGACATTTTATAAAAGAATGACACAAGAAATTATGTTCGTGACATTTATTAACAGATGCCACTAAACTTTAGTAGCAATGACATTTTTTAAAAAATGTCACTACACTCGGTAGATGCAAATTACTTTTTATGGCATTAGGTGAAAAGTGTCATAAACAAATATTTAATAGCATTTTAAGAAATGTCACTAAGCCAAAATATTTCCAATCTTTTAATGCCATTTTTGACAAAATCAAAAAATGCTAATATATTTTTAAAATGCTCAAAATGAATAAAAATAAATAAATTAAACTCAATATAACATATTTTTTTAACTGTACTTGCCACATGTACAAAATTGATCAATGATTTTATATGATTTCAAGAAAAATAAAATTTGAAATTGCTCTCCTGTACAATGATAAAGTTTCATGAATTTTAGTCCATGTATTTTCAATTAACTCAATTTTCAGTCTGAGTTTACGGATTTATCTCAATTTCTTTCAATTGTTTATAATTGTTGGGTAAATTACATCAATAACCCTTGCATTTTTTTCTTCCATATAGTTTTAATTGACTCACTTTTGACAGTTAATTTTAGATTTTACATCAATTTAGTCGAATTCATAACATGTTTAGGGTCTTTAATAGAAAATTTTCAATGGATTGGTTAAAGTCAAGTCACTGAATTGACCAGTATTTTGTTTTACTCCCAAAACGATGCCAGGTTGCATTTGTCATAAAAAAATCTATCACTTTGATCAATTTGAGACAAAATTTAAAATTCAAGGTTAAAATCAATTCACTTAAAATTACAAATACTAAAATGACATAATAGCCAAAATAGAGGGACTAATAGTGTAATTAACCCTAATTGTTAGCATTTTTTTAATGAAAAATATGCATACAAGTGAGTTATGTCATTCTTTTAGAGGTACAATAATAAATTTGCTCAACTTGTTCAGTTAATCTCAACAAATTCAGTGATTATTTTTCATTAAAAACACTAACGGTGTTATTAATTAAAAATTACAGGTTATAATTGATTTAACAAAAAATATAAGGGCAAAGTTAAATTTTTTTATTTTTTATTATTTACAATATGAACAAACTCAATCAAGCATCCTTATTCAACCAAACTCTTCTCTCTTTTTTTTTTTTTTAAAATATATTATACAACCAAGGAAATAATGAACTGAAGGAAACAAACCATATCTGATGAGGCAAAATCCGTAGAGGCGATCGAGATAGAGACAGGGGAAAGTTTGATTTTCTTGAAATTGGTGAACCAAATTTGATTTTGTCGGGTCAAAATCACGGGAGCCAAAATATGAAGGAAGTTTTTATCATTCTTTGTCTTTCATTCAATCCTTATCTACCATCTACACTACAAATTTGTTGTGTTTTCATCTTCTATGATCAGAGTTCATTAGGTATTCTTTCTCTCTTTCTCACCCTCATCAGACACACACAATACCTCTATATTTCTCACTTATTTATGATCTTCTTGTTTTAGGCATAAAACTTTATACAATTTGAAAATCTAATCTTTTAACTCATGAATTTATTAATTTTCATCTTTCAATATAAAAGGTTAGTTTTAATTTACTAATATCATATTTATGTTGTGATTTTATTTAATGTCTTGCAAGTGTTTGTTTAAATGCTTCAGTGAGTTTTATTTAATATTTATGTTTGTTGGTTATGCTGTTAATTAGTTGAAATGTTGGAGGAGCTCATCAATAATTGGAAATTATTTTTGTTTATGTCAGATTGTTGTAGTATATGTTGATTAAGCTACAAAAAACATGATATATATATATATATATATGGTTCTGTAACTATGATCTGATCTCATAGAGCCTTTTATGGTAAACTCTACTTCACAAGATCTAGATGTACTTAGCTAATTCCAATATTGATTAAGACAATCAACCTGATGTGGTTATGAGGTCATTGTTTCATAAAATAGAACTTAACAATCATATGATCACATAAATTAAAATGGATGTTTGTATTTAACATACTCCAAGGAAAGAACAGAGCACCACCGAGTGCCATGTAAAACTAAACTTCCACGTGGAGATGAATATATATGCCAAGGAGATCATTATTTGGTCCTCCAAAAAAAAAAAAAAAAAAAAACTTGGTCCTTGCAATTTCCAATGACAAAATCCAACCGAACTAAGAAACCGAAAAAACTTTAGTATAAAATTAACTCTAACCAACAACCTGAATCCTTTAAAGCATAAAGCACAGAGACACCAAAGGAAGAATCATGCGAATGTGCACATTTACATTATACTAATTATTGTACACCAAAAACAAAACAAAATCAATTGTTGCCAATCAACTTGCCAAACCTCTCTCATCTCGTCATATGAAACTGCCCAGGATAGCCAGTAGCAACAATAATGTTAAAGTCCATCCTATATTCCGATTGCTTGCTGAAGAAAGATTATGGTAGCCAATAAGATACTCCTATCCAGATGGGTCATCCCTCACTTTGACACTTGAAGAGCCTGAAATCAAATCACAAACACAATTTATGACCTTGTGTCATTGCTCATGTCCAACAAAATGCCCGCGTTTTTTAAACTACGCAGCTACATTTTTCATGAATCTATATCCACTGGAAATCATTTTGTACTTGGCAATACTAAGCCAAATTCGTATTTAAAGCATGTATTATATACAAATTTTAACCTAAAAACCAATTTCTCTCCAACTAGAATGGATAGACCAGATCTTTCAAAGTCCTTGCATCTTGTCACTCTTCACTCATCCCATCTCCTCAAAAAGTAAGTCGTGTCCTGGACAAATGGTGTTCGGAGTTTTATGAACTTCTGAACAAAATGAGGTTTATGTCAGAATTTCAAATGCATTTGATTGATTGGAATTTCATCATATTTCTTTTTTAGCCAATTAGTTTTTTAGGTTTACTTGGAATAATGAACATTGGCTTTTTTACCTTTTTTCTATTTTAGATATCATTTTCTGAAATAGCTCTAGTCGATAAGATATGTTACAAACTCAAACTCTCTGGAAAGAAACCAAGGACATTCCAATCCAAGGGACTTTCAAACAGGCCTTAATTGATCCCCAAAGGAATATGTTATGTACAAAAATGCAACACATGTAAAAACTGCTTCAATGTAGATCTTAGTTTTCAAAAAATATCCAGATGGCAGATGTGATCCGAAACAGCGCAACCAGCACAACTCACTATTGCGCAGTGACTGACTAAATTTTGGCCAATTTCCTTTGTCTAAGCCTTTAAATTTGAAAATTTACTATTTTTGAAAAGATTTTTCACTACTCGATTTAGAATTTCAATAAAAATTTATTGGTTGGAGTTGGGTTTTCTCTTAGAAGTTTATTTTTATCATAGATTTTAGCTCAAATTTGCTACTACTTTTTTTTTTTTTTTTTGTTACAGGGAAATCCTCCCACCCTTCCGCAGGTCCAAGGCAGCGCCCCATGAGGAGATCACTAGGGTGTCTTGTTGTCCGTTCCGAGTAAGAGACTATAACCTGGAAGCTTGTCTCGACCTCCCAAGGCAAGCTTCGATTAAGTCCGGACTCGCACAGTGGGGGAGCATTAAACCCACACCAAGTAGCTGATTAGGCATCCTTGAGGTCCAACCCCTAACCAACAGTGCTTCGCCCAGGAGATTGGCCCAAGGGGGGAATTGAACTTGTGACCTTGGGGCTTAAACCCCAAGGCCTTACCACAATGCCACAACCCCTTGGGTTAAATTTGCTACTTTTGATTACTAATAAAAATTAATTTTCTGTAATCAATTGTAGCGTGACTAACAAGTAACTTCCCCTATAATTAAGGTTGTAAACCATGGAAACTAGCCAGTCATGGATGTTAGTCAAGTTTTATGATTGTTTTTATTTATTTATTTATTATGTATTCATTTATTCCATAAGCTTATCTGCATAAGTAATATTGCTACTTTATCATTTAGAATATTTGGTGGGACACATTAATGTCATAACATCAAATGCAAATAATCTATAGGCAATATGTTTTGGTCTAACATGACAATCAGAGTTACAATATAGAATTCCTTTCCCATGTCGATATCAGTTGGTAAAATGTTGAGCACCCAAGTGATTGCTGCCCTGCCATGACATTCGAGGGATGACCGCAACTCAAAAAAAGAGAGAAAGAGAGCCAATCACAAAAATACTCATCAAGGACAACTAAGCATCTCGAGAATAAGAAATTGGAAGTATCAATGTAAACCAATGAACTCGAAAGAGCACATCCTATTCATAAAACCTTATTTCGCAACAAACAGAGTACAAAAAACAAAGTGACAAAAGAAGAAACACAAAAATAACCAACAACCTGCAACATGCAGCCCAAAAACCATGTTTCTATAATGGGAAGGTCTTGACGTTAAGTAGTCATGGAGATTTTCAAGTTTGTCTCAGAAAGTAAATTTTCAGATGGCACACGCTGAATTGAGCTGAACAATCATTATTCCTAGATACATCCTCACAATCTTGGCCTTCGAAGATCAATGATGATGCTTAGTCTCAAAAAGGCCATTAGGACTAGCAATGGCAACGGGGTGGGGCGGGGTCGGGGATCACACTCCCCGTCCTCGATCCCCAATGCTCGAATTTTCCCCGGCCCCGGCCCCGATCCCCGACGGGGACACATAGCCCGGTCCCATCCCCGCCCCCGATCGAGGATCGGGGATCCCTGACCCCGAAAAATCCCCGATTTTTTTTATTATTTATAAAAATCTGTAAACATGGATTAAAATATATTTGAGACAATGAAGACAATTAATATGGATTAAAATATATTTGTAAACCTGTAGCATTGCCATACAAAATAACCTGGAGCAATTTTAAAATATATTTGTCCAACAACATATACAATCTGTCCAGCAGCATCTGTACATGTTTAAAAAATCCTATCACACACAACTTTCATCCTATCACAAAGAACTTAAAAAATTCAACATAATTTGCCAATATATACAATCTGTCCAGCAGCCCACACACACAAGAAAATTCAACAAGTAGCAAAGATAATAATTAATCCCAAGCACAACCCGCAAGGGATAGGTTACCCAAAAATTGAAATTACAAAAAAAAATATCCATTACAACATAAAAAATCAAATCCATTGTTGGCACAGTATCCACACAGAGAGAGAGAGAGAGAGAGAAAAAAAAAGGATTTTAAATAACTTCTTTGCACAATTGACAATTCACAAGCTATGATTAGAAGAAAGAGGAATGAAGTCTGCTAAAACATGACACACACCTGCAGCTTATGGTTGTCACCAACAATAAGAAGCCGTTGATTTACACTTAAGAAGAATACACACGACAATTTGCAATACAAATTCGTTTTGCTGCTACTATGACATGAACCCGGTCACAATGTTCAACTCTTACAGCCTGTAGAGAGGGAAAAAAACATATATAGAATACACATTCAGAGCCTAACAAGCTGTACTTTAAGTTCCCCTAAAAGAATTGACATAATAATGGAAATATCATATATACTTCAGCACAACACAAAACCTAGAACTCAACAATATTTAGACACACTTTAGCGCAAACATCCCATTCTATATCAAGTAAATTTGTTATTACCATAATACGCAAGTTGTCCAAGTATCATAAATATAAAATGTCAAAACCATATATTCATTACCGTATATGGGAGAATAGAGGATAATTGCATGGCCAAAAAGTTGCCTCACAGAACCAAGTAAGCTAATGTCAAAACAGAGTGATATTAAGAATGCATAATGAAATGTAAAACGCAAAATAATTCAGCATACCCGTTCTCATTCTGCAGACATGGTCATGGCCAAAACTGAAAGTACATCTGCTAGTAAATACTGTGTTAAAAGGAAAATATGTACTCATGTTATCAATGGATTTTTTTTATACTAGGAAAAAAGTTTTAGAATTAAATTTATCGATTTATCTTTTAAATTAGTCCTATTTGATCAACTTAATTGCCAAAAGAGGATAGAATTGTTAGATAATGTCTCAATGGGACCACATAATTAAATGTGGTGTTATCATTTATAAGAAGCTTACAATTTAAGTGATTCAATTTAGTTAATAGGCCTAAGGGTATATGTGTTATGGACCTAATGTGTAGATACTAGTTGTATAATTTCTATTTCTATGAGGGGCAGAAATATAAATTAAAACATATTGGTTAAAGTTGGTTTTCATTACCTTTCAGTTTTAAAACCAATAATGGTTAATTTATTGGTTTTCATTACCTTTCAATTATGAAAACCAATTACAACCTTTAAAAGGTTATGGTCCCTATTCCTTCCAAAGGTGGAAAATAAAAACACTGTTTGTTTTTCTAAATCCTCTCAAGGAGAAACATAAGACACCAAAGGGGAAAGGATTAGAAGGCAATAACATAATCAATAACAAAGAGTTCATTGATAATCACGCTTCCACTTGTCCGTTCAGCAAGAATGGCGTAAGGCTATCTTCAACATATCATCATCAAAGATATATAATGGAATTATTTTATTTTGTTTTATTTTTGCTGAGGTTTGTTTTTATTTTTTAGGCACTATTTGTTATTAGAGCAATGCTACGTACTTTGAATTAGAGTTTGTCTCGAATGACTCAAATTTCATTTTGTTGGTTGTAAGTGGTATTCTTGTTGTAATGATTAAACATTGACAATAAGTTATGTCAAATAACAAATCTATCTTTTGATGGATTTATTATTCACATTAGGTTTTCTTGACAATTGGCACATGTTTATCACCACAAAATGTGTGTGTAATTGTGCCAAGTCTTAATCATGTCTTTGGACTGATAAATACCCGCATGAGATACACAGACATGAACTTCAAAACATTCCATATAAAACAATCTAGACAAGAGAGATCACTTTTGTGACATCTTGTTTTAATTGACTTATATTTAGAACGTTTAAAAAATTAAATTTCACCTGTAGACGTTGTATGAAATTACTTTAAATTTAAAGATTTCTTAATGCGTTACCCCGTATATATTATATAATTTTGCAGTAATCAATTATATACATATATATATAATTGACGGTTCCAAAAAATAGTTTTTTTTTTGCCACAAATCACATGCATGAATAGATTATTAAAATGCCAAAGACCAAGCCACAAATCACATGCATGAACAAAGACCAAACCACTTCTTTATTGTGAAAATAATAACACAATGGTGCTTTGTTTCAAACACCCCGAAAAAACAACGCAGACGGAAAGTTTTTTTTTTTTTTTTTTTATGATGTTCAAAAGTAAACCGATCAAATCTCAAGATATATCTATATATATATATATAAAGACATGATGTTCATCCATTTGAGAGAAAAAAAAAAACTGCCCACCGAATCATTTTACAATTCCAGAAAACAGATTGCCATTTTCACAGAACAAAACAGGAAAAAACAGAATTTACATCCATAAGAAAATTCAAAATCTTATTCCAGGAAACTAAATAGAATGAATAAAGCATATCAATTCTGATAAGACACATGATATGCATGCTCTGATACCAATTGTCAACATAAATTTCAGAACATAAACCTTATACTTTGGATCATTTACCATGTGTATTATCAAGAAATCAAGACAAAATGACATACCTGAATCCATTGATGAACGGTTAAACGGAAGCGTGATTATCAATGAAGGCAATAACATAATCAATAACAAAGACTTCATTGATAATCACGCTTCCGTTTAACCGTTCATCAATGGATTCAGGTATGTCATTTTGTCTTGTTTTCTTGATAATACACATGGTAAATGATCCAAAGTATAAGGTTTATGTTCTGAAATTTATGTTAACAAGAATGTCACATAAGGGTAAAATTGAATCAATTTCAGAAGTTAGAGAATTATTTGAATGAAATTAACAAATTAACAAATTTCAATTTGAAATTTATTTCTTAAAAGAAGTGAATGATGTAAATTTAAAATTGATAAAAAATGTGAGTCAGGTTAGAATAACTGTGGTCCTACATATCATTTTCTTAGTAATTTTTCTACTATTAGGATTGTTGTTCTCTTGATAAGTAATATATAATCAAAATAACATCATCAAAATAATAATCACAACAGGTTATGACTAACAAATTAATCTTCAAAATTAACAAATTAACAAATTTCAACAAATTAATCTTCAAAATTATGACTAACAGGTTATGACTAACAAATTAATTTCAACAAATGACTAACAGGTTATGACTAACAAATTAACACCATCATCTTCAACATCAGAAATATATAAAATAATTCATACACAGAAAAATTTGTTGAAATTTGTTAACATCATCAAATTAACAGATATCTTCAACATCATCATCTTCAATAATGAACAATGAACAATAATTAGGGGAGATCTATATACTCATATTCAGAGATCTATTTATTCATCTTCAATAATGAACAATGAACTAATGAACAATGAACATCATCATCTACACAGAATAAATAAATTTAGAAAAAAAAACAGATCTATATACTCATATTCAGATATATATATATATATATATAATAAATTTAGAAAAAAAAGATATATATATATATAATAAATAAATTTAGAAGAAAAAAAAACACACACACACAGGTTGAAGAAACAAATCCATACACTCAGTCTCAGATATACAGATCTAAAATAAACAGATCTATATACTCATATATATATATATATATATGTAAACCCTAGATCCAAATCCCTAGAAAAAGAGAGAGATACCAGCGACGGAGGAGCGTCGGACCGTCGGTGAGGGAGGATCGGAGGATCGCCGGTGGTGAGGAGGGAGGCGCGGCGGTGACAGATGAAAGAGAGAGCGAGAGACCAGTGGCGAGAGAGAGAGAGAGAGGAGCGCCGTGTGAGTGAGAGGCAGAGGCTGTGTGTGTTTGTGTCTGTGT